GTTCGGAATGTCAAATTCGAATGATCTCCACACGCCGGTGGAGTGGTCGCCGGAAAACGCTTGTTTAAAACTGTTTCGCAGGTTTACAGTCCCCTCGCACAATAGTACCAGCCAAGACTTGCTATAGCGATACTACATTGTGGCTATAGTGCATCGTTTGTTGTTCTTGCTGAACGAAATCACATCTTTGTCATCGACAACACGGTTAACGCAGCCCCAGAACGAGTTATTCCTGCATTGCGATAAACATGTGGAGTTCACAAAAGCGCACGCTCTCCAGGCACCAGCGATCAACGCCTCACACACAGCGATGCTGACCGCGATTATTTGAGATGCTTGAGTGCACCGGACTGATATAGTTCGCGTAATCGACGATGTATTTATCTCCTCATCCTCAACGACACCCATAAAGCGGCTGATACATACAGTCTGTCCCGCTTGTGGTCCTTTACTCGCTGTCCCACACGTGCAGCGCTCCCCCTCCCCGCCGCCCAATAAAGTCATTACGGTATTAGCGCCGATCTGCGTGGGGCAATGCGCGGACGGGCCGGAAGTGTCCCCGTCCGCCGGCCCGGTGAGGTGCTAATCCGCGGAACCCGTCCGGCCGTCCCCTTCCGGAAGTCATTGGTACGGAGGTGGCGCGCTCCTCTCGCGCGGTGCCGAGCTCGGCGGCGGCGGCGGCGGCGGCACGGAAGCGCCAGTGTCCGCGGTCAGTTGGCACGGAGGGTGCGCGAGCGAGGCAGGCCTGGTGTCGGCGCGCGGCAGCGGCAGCGGTCGCCATCTTCGGCGAGTGCACGCGGCGGAGTGGTCACCGCTGTGGTCTCGTGAGTGGGAGTGTGCTGTGGGTGCTGCTGTCGGCGCACGAACGGCGGCGGCGGAGACTGCGCACGCGAGAGGTCATCAGTGAAGACTGCGCACGCGAGCAGTCGGCGGCGAAGACTGCGCACGCGAGAGGTCAGCAGTGAAGACTGCGCACGCGAGCAGTCGGCGGCGAAGACTGCGCACGCGAGAGGTCAGCAGTGAAGACTGCGCACGCGAGCAGTCGGCGGCGAAGACTGCGCACGCGAGAGGTCAGCAGTGAAGACTGCGCATGCGAGCGGTCGGCGGCAGAGGCCACGCGGGCCACCGGTCAGCCGTGGCAACGCGCGCGAGCGGCGGCCAGTGCGCCGGCCGCCAGGCGAGGCCTGTGGGCTCTGAGAGCACGGCAGTACATGAGACTCCGTACCCAGGGAGACTCTAGACGTACCCGAGACAACGCTAGCGCCGCCCGCCGCCGTGGAGCCGGCCTCGACCGAGTACTGCCCGCGCCGCGGCTCTGGCGGCAGCAGGTGTGCGCCGGACGGGTCATGGATGGAGGGCCCTCGCCAGGCTGCGCGGAGTCGACCGCGGCGTGGATCGACGATATCCGCCTGGAGGACCTGTCGACGCCGGGCAGCAGCGGCGCCGGCGCGAGCCTGCTCTGGCGCGAGGACTCCAGGGAGTCAGAAGATGGGCTCTCGCCGGTCAGGTAAGGCGGCTGCGGTGACTGAGTTGGCCGGACGCCGCTCACTCAGCTTGGATCTGGATGACAGATGAGGGGAAGTCATAGTCTTAGTCATAGTTACAGCCATTTTATAATTCTTCCACGCGGTGGTTATAACGAATCCAATCCAATTACGAACACAACGCTGCAAAACAAAGGACAAAACACCGCGAAATGAAAGAGCAAGGACAAAACGCAGGTGCCATCCAAAACGCTGCCAGTCGGCACCTTGGCAGCCGCGTCATCCGGCCGCCGTGGCACGGGTGCTACGCGACGACACACGGGCGCGACAAACACACATGTCCGATATAGCTAGGGGACGCTGGCTGCGGAGAAGGGCTTTCTGCGCCTGTACACAGTTGTAGCGGCGCACCATCTCCCCTACCCTTGTTCAGCCAAGCACTTGTAGAGGAAGGGGGGAGAGGAGGTTGCGCGGCCCGGGCCGTCTGACCCGGGGGGGGGGGGGGAATGTCGTCAGCGGTCTGGTGATGCAGCCATAGCAGCACTAGAGAGTGAGGCGCAGATAGACGCTGACGTCCAGTGGGGACGCAGCGGCCTTTGAACGTGCTGAAACGACGGAACTGGGACGTGCCGCACTGTCACATGGACCAAAATCGGGGCACCGCGTGGTGAGAATACCGGGTTTCACTGGTGGCGACGCTCGTCTGGCGGTAATGTCTTCTGTTCCGCTCTTCAAGAGCCTAGAGTGCAGTGCGAGGGAGCGATTTTTTGTGTGCCCAGTTCTTTACTTTCCTCATAGTCTGCGATCTACAGCTTTGCATCAACGAGAGCGCCGGCTACTAAAACGGCAAAATCGACTTTCTTTTCCAATTCACGTTTTATCGTTCACCTAATAATTAATTGACTAACGAACACAACGCACTGCCCGGTATGCTGAACCATATGTTTTCAGGCCGTTATTGGTGCGGCTGGTTTCAGATAACGGCAATCTGGTTGATGGGGGACACATGAGGCGACCAGGATCGGATTGGCTCGAACCTGATCCCCGATTTTGATGGGATGAGGAGTATCAGGATGATCCTCAGGATGATCAGAATGATCTCCAATGTGATGAGGAGCATCGGCTGCCACATAGACATCACAGTAACTAGGAGACCTGCGTAGGAACCGGAATGTCATCGGAATCGGCATCGTTTCCGCAGTCACGACCTTTCGGAACTCGGATTCTGGCGGCGAACAAATGGCTTGAAATTGAACTCGCCACATTAAAAAAACTTAAGCTCAATTCGGGCCTCAGTCCAAATTTGACTTGTTTTAAGGCAAGGCTTCAGCCTGAGTGATCCTGCATCGGACTGAAAGTGAACGTTCCTGTCCTCGTTATTGAAATTTTGACTTCGACAGTTTCTTTCTGTCAGATCGAGGGTGAACTGGGACACTGGACCAATACGAGGCATACAATGTATGACTTTCTTGCACCCATTTCCTGTCAAATGTTCTACGCTGTCTTGACATTCCCATGTTTCGGTCATCAGCTAACTTCAAGACCAATGCAGCATTAATATTATTCAGACCCCGCCTGAGGTCACACACACACACACATACCAGGTGTCGGCGTAGTGTCGTGAGTCATAAGACCGGCGGACAAGATGGAGAACGGGGTGCGCGATCCCTGTCGGACAACGACTAACGATCCCCAGACTCGGATTCATGTGATGCGGAATGAGTCGAAATCGGCCCCCGCTCTTTGAAGCGCCATGATTTCAAAATGCCGCGGCATGACTCAAAAAATCAATCCGCAAGTTGTGTATTTGTCCTGTTCATCTGCTTGGGGAAGCGGATGCGTTGACCACAGTGGTGACGTCGTGGGTATGAGCAAGTTCGGGCTCAGACTCACTGAGCTCTGATTCAGACTCTGGGTTATGTTGCCATGACTCAGACCGGGGTTGTGAACTGAGCCTTTTGTAGCATAAACGGACGTTAGGTACGAATTCACCAGGAACACGCGCGTAGTACCGTACGACGACGGGTGAAGGGTGGAGACGTGTGAGCAGTCCGATGACAATAAGAAACGAATGACAGGCGTCACCAGATGTACTTGAGAACCAATCCGAATATATTTTAGTTCGTACATTGGAATGTCCACAATTCGCGAGTTCAACGAGGGAGGAAGTAAGCTGTCAAATATGTCGCTCGCGTCACGATACGACTGCTTTTTTTAGCAAATTGGATGCTTTTAGCTGGGTCCTATTTGACCAATATCCTGACCAATATATTTGCAAGGCTCCTGACTATTCCATCTATGAAATCATGCCTTTTCTGTTTACATTTTTGGGGCTGCTTGAACCATTAAAGCTCTTTGTGTCACTATTTACGTTCTTTGCTGTGACATAAACATTTTGCCCACAAATGTAATATACGCAAACACTGCAAATAAGCAAAAATTCTGACAAAAACTGAATTTTTCTGTGCATATCGGTGGCATTGCACTGAACTATGCGCCTGTGTAATTTTCATGACCAAGTATCCTGGTGTGGGCGACAAGGCGTTGCAGCCGATTCAGACGAGTTTCGAGAGCAGTTTCTCAGGTAATTTTGCGGTCTTCGTCTGGCAAATCATGGGTCAGACAGTGCTAGTACTGTCAGTCATTTGTAGACGCTACACTTTCTTGCACGCTGAAATTATTTTCCACGCCTTTATCTGCTCCAGTTGCTAAGATCAGACACCAGTCGTTAAAAAACTACAATACGAGAGCGGATTCATTACATTTACTCTGTCATGTGCTCAGTCAGATGGGCATCTTGCTCAAATTTACGCTCATTCTCGTCAGATCCAGATGCTTGAACTATACCAAGGCCATATATATAGGCCAATACGATGCATCCGCTCTCTCCACTGCCGTTGACACGACGCCAACAGGGTTGTGTCACTGAGAAGATAAGCTGCCGAGAGCGATGCCTAGTTGGTTTCGGCATGTATTCTCTTCCTCTAAAATCTGTTATTTCCTATGTTTGTCGAATAGGCAGGTGGAGTTTAATTTATATGGGAATGATGCAACACAGCCACGTCTTACCAGACAACCGTAGGACAGATGTGTCGTGATCATTGCAGCATATTCCTTAAAGAATCGTGCGACTTTTAACTAAAAATTGCAGGGTCGTGCGATCATTTGTCGTAAAGATACACATCAAGCTGGAACTCAACCGATTGAATACGAAACTGGAAAAAAAATTCCGGTCTTCGTCTGGTAAATCATGGGGCGGACAGTGCTAGTGCTGTCAGTCATTTGTCGACGCTACGCTTTCCTGTTACCCCGGGACGAAGGTCTCGCCATTGAACGAAAATAGGAAAAGACGAAATTCACGTCAGATGAAGACAAAAACATGCCGCCGACCCTGAGCTACGTGCTCAGCAAAGGCCACTGCCTCCTTATATCCAGTCGCTGCTCATTTGGCCAGCACACAGACCTCCGGTAGCCGGTAGCAGGCGCTTCTAACGCTGACGGCCGCCTTTGTTGCAGCGTGCACTCCGCGGAGGCGACGGAACCACGCCTGTCGCTGCCGCGGCCCGACACCCCGGGCCAGATGGGGTCACAAGGCCACGCGCCGCCGCCCGACGCCCACGACCCGGAGCAGGCGGAGGTCGACGAGAAGGTCCAGGTCATGCTAGCCCACTACCTGGGCCAGTGCTGTCGTGAGCAGGTAGGGTGCCGGTGCTTACAGGCGCGGGGAGGGGGGGGGGGGGGATGGGGCTCTCGAGTCCTGGGTGCGAGCGCCATGAATGCTTGACATCTTGAATACGTAATCGTGTTCGTGACTGGGATAAGGCGATTGCAATTACACCCGCATGACCTGCAGGCGTCCGACTCCTTTGCGATTAGATGTGATGGTTTTGGACTTGGTGTCGTAAAAATGCGAGCGACCCGCGAGCTGTGGACTTCCTTTTGACATTTGATTTGCCCGGCGAACTTTGCTGCTGATCTTTTTGACGGGAGGTAGCATCCTGCCGGTAGCGTTGGAACCTCTGAGCAAATGTCATGGGCTTTTAGCGTGACGCTGGGCGTCGAACCACTTCAGTCATTGTGCTCTCCGTCCGCAATAGCAGCTCAAACGCAGCAAACTGGGACCCATTTCTAGCTTAACTCGACTTTGACCGCTGGATTTAGCTGACTTATGGTGTATTTGCGGCGCACCAAAGATGCTCCGTTCTACGTGACGTAACGAAGATTCTTTGCCGGACGCGCATAATCTTTTTCGCGATTCGATCGGAGTGAGACGAAAATGGCGCAACGCATGATATTATAAAGCGGCCCATTTGCGTGCCCAGAGCCGACTACGAGTGATAGAAGGTGTTATTAACCTCATAAACAGCGTAATTTGCAGTTTTTATTCTTGTTGGAGCACTCAGAGTATCAGCAGACAAAAATCTTGCGTCTTTGCAGTTATTGTCACGATAGTCATCAAGCTGTAAAGAGAAAACGTCGCGCTGCCAACACTTCCGGTAAAGAATCACGTGACGTCGTGTAGAGCATTCTTAGTGCACTGCGAATGCATCCTTGGGTGCCGTCACCGGACCCGAGTGGTTCCGCCATCTTGGCGCACCTGTTTTTGCCGTCGGCGGCATTGATGGCGCGCCCACGTGGACCGCTCAGCTGACTCAGCTCGCAGCCCGCCGCCGCCCACAAATCGCCCTTTGTTCTTCTGGTGTTTGTCAGTCAGACTGCGAGATTGCCGTTGGTTTGCGGTCACTCGCAGAATGCGCTCAGTGCTTGCAGACACATTCGACAGAACGGTCTTGTTACGCAAGGTGGACTTGACAGCCCTGTCATATAGGACATATGTTGACAGCCCGGTCCTCCCCGGAGAAAGAAGAAGTGAGAATTCGAGCTGAACGTGAGATCATGTCCCGTCTCCTCTCGCTAAATACTGAGGCCACCGTAGACGCGGTCTAGTGGATTCTTGTGTGGTTATGTGGCCTACTGTTACTGTCACGTTGTCTGCACCGACCACTTTTTTATTATCAGCTGAATTACAGGGCAATGTCATGTACCAAGAACCCCCCCCCCCCACATATATATATATATATATATATATATATATATATATATATATATATATATATATATATGTATATGTGTGTGTGTGTGCGTGTATATACGTGCTGTTGGTCGTCGCCGATGCATCAACTACACATCGGGTTCTTAATCTAACCATCAAAAGTCTGGTTTATTTTGAACAATATACACTATCCACCAAACATAGCTTTTGCGATGCTAGGAAATCACGGCTGGCTCCGAACTTCATCTTTCATTGGAGGAGCTGCTTCTGTTGTCACAGACGTACCTACCACCCGTGACGGGCTGGACAAGCCTTGATTCCGAGGATGACACTCTACATCACTCTCTTGCAGGCGGCCCCATAAACAGACCTTAAAAGCTCATGAATAGCAGGCTTGAGCTGCAGCAGCGGGCTGAGCATGCTCTTGGTCATGCTGTCATGACTGTTGTTCGCGCAGCCTCACGGGGCAACCTTCTGGGCGCGGCTTTCCAATGGGTCTCTGAGTGTGAGCGAGAAGAGGGCAAGTGGACCCCCACAGCAGCTTATATTGCTTCTCCTCCAAAACTTTGCCTACAGCACCTCCCCAGTTTGGATAAGGAGAAGCTTGCAGTTCTAAAAAAGTGGTCTGGAGTGGCGATGTAGGCCGATTCTTGCGGGCCAGGAGGGTCATAGGAGAGCAGAGCACGAGAACTAATTCTAGCGGGAAGTGATCACAACATTGATGAGCGATGCGTAGTTCAGAAAACAATTGTCCTGGGTTAGACCGCTTTAAGTCGAAGAGCAGAGATGAGGTTGTATGTGTTTCGATTCGAAATTAATAAAAAAAGACTGGTCAGCACAGGTTGACTTGAAATTAGTGCTGACATTTTCCTTTGTTCAGCAAGCAGCGGGATGGAGGCATTGGTTTTTTTTTAACTGGGGCTTGGACGCTCAGGCCATCCAGTCCACACCAACATAATCTCTCGAAAAGAGACAATTTGGTAATGGGTGCCGCTTGGCCAGGGCAGTTGGTGCGCCCTGAAGCCCAAATCACCATCATCAGCCCATTGATGTCCTTGCTCAGCGCGCCCTAACGCACAAATCATCATCATCATCATCAGCCCATTGATGTCCTGGCTCATATCTGTCTGCCATGTTAAATGCAAGCCTTAACAAATATTTAGCGACGAAGGGTGCAAGTGACTGTTCCTGACAGTCTACAGAAATCCAAGCTTATTTTATGGTGTTTATCTACGTAGAAACGTTTTATGCGAGTTCGTCAAGCATTTCTACGTAACGATCAGGAATGCCTAGTTATCTGCCGGCAATCTGCGCAAAAATGATGGTGACCACGTGCTCTTTCGTTATTACACCACCACCAGTCCGTCATACGGACTATATGGCGTGCACGCACGCCATAAACTGCTTGGATTGTATGACGTCATCCGCCTGGGGACTGGGCGGGGAGGGCGGGCACCGGAAGGGCTGGCGTGGATAGCCTCTTAGCGTAGCATGATGTGGAAGTCGCTACTGGAAAAGACTGTAATTCTTACGATGTTTTATATGCCATGCTTTGGAGGCACGCATTCTCAAGATTCTTCACATGACATGTTTTTGATGCACGCAATTCTTAAGATACTTTATATGACATGCTTTGGAGGCACGCATTGCCAGATCCATACCACAAGTGCGTCGTATACGTGGTTCAAACCTATCCGCGGTCCCTTGCAGTACCCCTAGTAGTTACATGGTTGTCATGCTCTGTCTTGTACACGGTGCAACTTTTAGAAAAAAACATATATCTTATATGTTTGCTTTTATGTCTCAAATCGCATGATGAGCGCAAGACGTGACTGCAATGTGCAGCACATCATGCTTTCACTTGGCCCCAAACGATGCAGATGACTCCAAAAACAAGGGCCTGGAGCCAGCCGCCTGTGGTGGATCACTTTTCTTTCAAAGCCTGCCACAATACACGCATCATAGAAACGCTCAACACGTGCGGGGAGTGCGAGGAAAAGCAGTAACAAAATAATGCCCACTGCGCCCCCCACCACATTTTGCAGCATCTCAACGTGTTCCTGCCAAAAATCTGTGTGCATACACAGTGTTCGTGATGTAGGACTGCACGAATGAATCTGCGATCTTCAGTCTATCTCAAAATACAGTGTGAGTGCGACGTACAAACCTGCGTTAGTTTTCCTTGCATGCGCTTCTATACTACCCACGCATATCAATACTCTGTTAAACACAACAAAGTCGTGGCGGTGTGACGAGCTTTGTAGGAACTGCAAGAAAAAAAAACGCTTGGGGAGGGCATAACCTGCTCTCCTCATGCACGCTAAATGGTTACGTCACGGTGTCGGTTTGCGGAAATGCGCCTGGTTCGGCACGCGGTATGCCGGTTTGAGGAACTGCGCCTGGTTCGGCACGCGGTATGCCGGTTTGAGGAACTGCGCCCGGTTCGGCACGCGGTATGCCGGAGGTGGCCGGGTGGAGTGAGTGGCAGTAAGCGGCGGCGATTGCACCCAGGAACATTGGTGTACTTCAGCGACCAGTCGGTACCTTCTTAAATCGATGTTCTGTTCTCGTAATGGCAGTCTACGTTTAGCGTATTTTCATCGTCATGATCATCGTCGAGCACCTACTTCTATGTCCATGCCTGGTCTCATGTGACGCCGTTCTGAGTGCTCGTGGGGACTTTGCCAGCTTTGAATGGTTTTTCAGCGGCTATGAGCTGTTTTTGCACCTGCCCCTCCCTGTCTCTTCTTCTGAACGGCTCAGAAATGGCGAACCCGACCATTATTTATAATGTTGGATGTCCCTACCTGAGTAGGAGATGCAAATAATTAAGACCATGGTCACCCTAGAACGCAGGGTCATGACATCATAACGATCACTTATTTTCTTGGAAGCCGGATGAAGTCTAGCACCCATTCATCCCGTGGTATGCCATGCCGTGAGGAATTAGAGCGATTCTTGTGGGTTTTCATGCAATGACCTCAGCCTGAATACCAGAGTGGACAACATATTTGCCCCTCTGGGCCACGGATGCGAATAACCTCAGGTGACCTGCGTTACCCCTGTATGGTCGTTATGGTGCCGCATGGCAATTTTTGTGGCACTGGTTTACATGGAAGATACCCGATAACAGCTCGCTTACAGCGACCTTGTTCTGACATGCTTCAATTAAGGCGAGAAAAAGCAACGGGGGCAACATTTCCTTCCCTATAGCTGGTATTGATATATATTTATATACATATATATATATATTTATATACATATATATATATATATATATATAACTGATAACTAGATCCATCCATCCCACGCTAGCTTGATCCTGAGCCACTTTTCCCCGCCACTTTTCCGTTCTTTCTTTGCTCGTCAATAACGACAGTTTCTGAGAAATTGGCGCACGGATGAGTTCTTGACAAATGAGACGGCTCTGGATGGGTATGCTTTCGGTTCTTTTGGAGTCATCTCAATAAAAAGACCACAGTTGTTGCTCATCTCAGTGGACGTTGCAACCATATAAGTGGATTGCCACATAAAGGCCGTGCCTGCTGGAACAGTGCACCTTCGTGCACAGCTCGTGCACCATAGTCTGGACGGCTTCGCTGTTCTCATCAGCGATCTTTCTTACGGCCCGTTTGATGGCGCTGCCTCAGCATTCGCCCCGACTTGGCTTCCCATTCATTCGCATAGACCTCTTGCTGGAGCATAAGCTGCAGGTTTCGATGAGCTGGGGGTCTGGTGTAAAGGACTTCGGCCGCCGCCAGCTTTTTGTGTTGTGTGCTGTCTCGTGGCTCAACATGGTTCATTACACGATAAACAGCGCATCGGCTTGCTTTCATTATCAAAACATGGTGTGCGTTGGCCGGGTTTTCATCTGGCAACACGTAATGAATTACAGATCGCCCAGCAACCGCAGCGTGCTTCGGGCATAATCGGCCCATGTCAGGGCTGGCCATATAAAAAGTCACCATCGGGCGATGTTTTGAAATAAATGTGACTAGGTCCTCCATCATTTACTCCATCTCGTAAACTTCCTTGTCCGCCGTTGCCTTGCTGAGGATGAGCACTGATTCTTACAGGCCCCCTTGGCTCAAAGCGAGCCACGCCGTTTTTTCCGAGGAAACATGGATTTGAACAAAACACGACATTGCTTGGCTTCTTGACGCTGCCTGAAGTGTAGTTGAGTACATGTCTAGGCACTCGGGAGTGGTCTGAAATGAAATGACCTCCGTCCTTTATTTTGACTGAAATTCTCCTACAGGTCTTGAAAAGCACGATTAGCTTATTCACTTGGGATTTGACACGGCTGTCTTGCACTTGAGTGTTTTGGCGGCCATTTGCCTCTTCCGATATTTTCTCCGGCACACCTCGATGATGTTAATGACGTTTCTGCGATTTCATACTTTTTTGGCCCCCTTGTAGGTACTGACCTGTTAGCGACATATCTCCGATTTCGTACGTTTTGGACGCCTTGCTGAAACTGACCTTCTCATTGCTCAACATGTACGGCATGAGTGGCTGTCGCTTATCAGGGCATCTTCACAGAAATTCATCCGCTACCAACTTTTTTGTTGCGCTGCCGCGGGACTCAACATGATTTATTATACGATAAACGGTGCATCGGCTCGCCTCCATTAAAAAAAACGAAGAACGATGCATGCTTTTCCCATCTCTTTTAATTATTCATGAAAATAGCAATGGTCTTTCGCACGTCTACACATTTGAGCACGCCATGGCCAATGCAACACCGTAAAGTGCTCACGTATGAAAACGAAATGCAGTAAACGATGCGCCAGCACGTTTGGTTTTCACGCGTCGAACATTTTCACGTTTTGTGGAACGCTTTTCACGTTTTCATGTGTGCTTCGCCAGGTTTCCCATTTAGAGTTCTGCTGATATCAAATAAACGTGTCACGCATTCAATCGCTTTAGCAATACACGTCCAAAACTTGTCTCCTTTTGTTAGCTGTCTCATTTGTCTCGAGTGGACGGAATCTGACGGCTTCCCAGATGAACGTGAGCTGGACTTGTGCCCTGCCGCAGGTGGGCTAGAGCCAGGGGATCTCTGGCTCCACGTGGACAGGCCATGGCCTTCCCCTGTGCCGCATTTGAACCGACCACTGACCTGCAGACTGAATTCTGGCACCTGAGCTATCCTGAAGCCTGACGCTATTCCTCGCCCCAGGGCACCAAAAGGCACATCCCCTCCCATCCTCGGGGTGAGCTGAACTCTGATGCCGCGCCTGCCACACTTACCACATATACTGGTACATTTACATGGTACTGTTACATGTGCATGTACAACATGTACGCATGTACGCTGACGCTCTGCCCTGAGCTGCCTGCCAGTGGACTAAGCCCTGTACCGCCCGCCCCCAGGTGGACGTACTCTGACGCTCTGCCCTGAGCTGCCTCCCAGTGGAAAAGCCCTGTACCGCCCCCTGCACCTGTACCGCCCCCTGTACCTGTACCGCCCGTCCCCAGGTGGACTGCCTTCTGAAGGTGTCACTGGAGCGTCGCGACTTCCGCCGTCTGTCCGCCATCTTGGGCCAGGTCTCCATGAAGGAGGGCGCCGGCGGTGCCTCGCAGACGGTTCATCGGGCGCGCGTGCACGCCGCCTTCCAACGCGGCGACTTCAAGCAGGTGTACCAGGTGCTGGAGAGCCAGCCGTTCGACGCCAAGTACCACAGCGAGCTGCAGCACCTGTGGTACCAGTCGCGCTACGCCGAGCAGCGCCGACTTCGGAACAAGCCGCTGGGTGAGCCCCCCCCCCCCCCCCCCCCCCCACCGCATCCCGGAGCCGAGGAAGGAAGGAGCCACCACTCCCCTCAACACCCCGGAGCCGAGGTGACCTAGATGCTCCCCTTGATGCCACACTGAATGTGGTGATTTCCAACCGATGTAAGCATGACTCGCGGAGAGGTAAGATATTTAAGGACTTGCGAAATGCTCCCCTTGATACCACACTGAATGTGGTGATTTCCAACCGATGTAAGCATGACTCGCGGAGAGGTAGGATATTTAAGGACTTGCGACCGTGAGCACGGCTTCCAGATGTTCAGTATTAGCAGTGCAGCCAGTTCCCACTTGGCAAAGCCGCTTAATCAGTATCACCTGGTATACTGATGTCGGCTGTCGTCAGAATAAGGTCTCCCTGCTGGAACTGGGTTTTGGCAAATATGGTCAAAGGTAGCCATGATACCAAAATGAACTTGAAGGTGGATAGGTTTGGATTATAGTTCGTTCATTTTCCATGTCGATGGAACTCCGCGCAAAAGGGTGCTGCTGTAGAAGCCGTTGATGAGAGTAGTTATTATGTCGCTTAATTTCATCAGGTTGCCTCGAAACGCAAACATGGCAAAATCATGTTTATGACCTATTCTAGACAAGTCGTAGCAGTTTTAAAATGTTCTTGAAACGACGCGGAACGGTGGTTGATGATACAAATGAGGAGCGCCTTCAAACATAGGGCATTGTTAACCTCGCAATGATTTCTCCACAGGAGCGGTTGACCACTACCGGATCCGGAAAAAGTACCCGCTACCAAGAACAATTTGGGATGGAGAAGAATTGGTGTACTGCTTCAAGGAGAGGGATAGGAAAATGCTGCGGGACTTCTACACGGTGAGTTATACCACTACGCTGGTGAAATCGTTAAAATTGTGGATCAAGCGGTATGGCTGGAATGGTGTGCTGTTCCTACTGCACACACACATAATGCTCATTTTATGGTTAGTATACTGGCAGAAGGAGTAAAGATTTGGTAGCATTCTGTAACTGATTGTTCGTCGTGACAGAGTAGAATTCTTAAAATTTACTGAAAAACAGCACCTTTGCGGCCAGATTTTAATGAGTAACATGCTTGCGTCTTTCCAAAGATGAACCGCTACCCGACGCCGGCGGAGAAGAGGGAGCTGGCCCAGCAGACGAAGCTCAGCACCACCCAGGTCTCCAACTGGTTCAAGAACCGGCGGCAGCGTGACAAGACGCAGAGCAGGGAGCACCCCCAGAACATGACCCCTATCAAGAGGTACGAAACGGGGTTCCCAGGGACAAGGAGAGAGCACAGAGCAGGGGGCACCCCCAGAACATGACGCAACCCCCCATCAAGGGGTACGACACGGGGTGCTTAGAGACAAGGAGAGAGCACATGAGCAGAGAGCACCCCTAGAACATGACCTCCGTCAAGAGGTACGGTACGGGATACCCAGGGGCAAGGAGGTAGAGTACAGAGTAGGAAACACCACCAGAACATGACAGGACCCCCATCAAGAGGCACGACACAGGGTGCACAGGGGCAAGGAGAGAGCACGGACGGGGCACGACATCAGCCACAGGGCATCCAACCTGAAAACACCGAGTGTAGGGGCCAGCAGGCACCGACTCCTGACGCCTGTCCTCATAAGTGCGACGAAAAGCAGGCAGTTCCTGTCATGAACACCCAACGAAGCATCGCTTGCGCTCTCACCCGCCGCACCGCGCCCGCCCTGCAAGAACCCTTGGCATGAGCGAGAGTGAATGATCTATGCCCTGAGTTCACCAGCTCGCTCGCTGTGGGGCTCATCGTCGGAAGAGAGTCACGGCGGCAGTCTCGCCCTGCCCGCCGTGGTGTCAGGATGTTCGGGGCCCCTGTGTCAGAGCACAGCTCCCCGCTGTCTGTCGCTGTCGTGCTATTCCCCGCGCTCGCTGTGTACCATGTGTCCCTGTCCGCCTGCCTTCCTCGCGTCCGAGTGCGCGATGTGAGCGCCTCCGCTCAATACGGAATTCTCCGACGCAGCACAGCTCCATTGTGTCTGCGTTTGACTGCATCGGTGTTTGAGTTGTTCATTGTGCTGTGCAATGTGTCCGATTGTTCGAGCGTGCCCGTTTCTGGCCGGGCTCTCCGTTGTCCGCTGTCTGCTGTCTGCAAAGACCTGCCCTTGAGTCGCGCTCCAATGTGTCCGGTTGTCCGTTGTGTCCGGTCGTCCGCTGTGTCCAGCTGTCCCGTACTCTTGTCTCCGAGCTCGGCGCCGCTGTGTCCGCTGTCTTCCGTATGTCCTGTCTGCTGTCCGTTCATCGCGGTGTCGGGGCTGGTGCCTGTGTCTGAGCTGGGCCACGTGCCCTGTGGCCGAGCCGGCCCGTGTCCGCGGTGTCCGAGCCGGACCGTGTCCCCTGTGTCCGAGCCGAGCAATTTCCCATGTGTCCAAGCCGGGGCACGTCCCCTGTGTCCGAGCTGGGCCATGACCCCTGTGTCCGAGCCGGGCCACGTCCCCTGTGTCCGAACCGGCCCTCGTCGCGTGTCGGAGCCGGGCCATGTCCCCCGTGTTCGAGCCAGGCCGTTTCCCCTGTATCCGAGCCGGGCCGTGTCCCCGGTGTCGGAGCCGGGCCGTGTCCCCGGTGTCTGAGCCGGGCCGTGTCCCCTGTGCCGGGCCGTGTCCCCGTTGTCTGAGCCGGGCCGTGTCCCCTGTGCCGGGCCGTGTCCCCTGTATCCGAGCCGTGCCGCGTCCCCGGTGTCCGCCGCACCCACCGTCGGCTCTCTGCGCCGCCCAGCCGCCGGGCAACACTCGCGGGCCAGCCTCAGTCAGTCCTGGAGTGCTCTCAGGCTCCGATACCAGAAATATTAGCCGACCGCGCCATCGCCGCCGAAACAAAGGCGTCTCGGGTGCGGTGGAGGCGCCGCCGGCGTCCGACCGGCCCCAGATGCTTGCGACAAACCACGGACGCGGCTGGCAGAGGTACCCGGGATCGATTACCAGCTGCCTGTGACGTCATAACGTCCTAGAGGAGGCAATTATTTGACGTTGATGTGGGCTGTTCTGTTCTGATGGTATGAGACATATGCTCCGGGAGAGATAAAGGGCCGTTCTTGACCTTCGGTATGTCCTGGGAGAGATGAAGGACTGTTTTTGACCTTGAACGGGTCTGAGTCTCATGCCGAGTCGTTGGAGGGAGGCTTGGAGATCGCATGTACATCCTTCCCAAGCATCCTCCTTGGCATTTTAGTTACATCCTGTCGGCACACCGTCTATGGACCCTATACCAAAATTGAGCATTATTGTGCCCGCGAATCCAATCATGCATGTAACCTCTCCACCATCCTATCTTACAGAAGTATTTGAAACTGTCTTGTGCTGCATTGCTGCCTTTTTTCCTTTTACACTAATGTAGGAGTAAATTAAAAACCAACGCATGCAGAAAGCGCCATCACTTGATCAGTTTAGCGACTGATTCAGTAAAATTAAGTATCGAGTGTTCATTGTGCTTGTAATCAAACACGTTTTCTGAAGCACGAACTAGCATTGGCAAACATCTGCCCGACGTTTGTTTTTGCCGCCGATACTCGCGCCTCTCCTCCCCTCATCCCGTCCAAGCGCCTCCCAAGTGCCGCTTCTCCCCCAAGTTCGGCGCGGTAACCCGATATGTTTGCCCATATAAACCACGCCCGGCCGGCGGCGGGTAACAGATCCGGCGGGGCTACAAGGCGGCGCTGTGTGCGGCGGCCGGCGACGGCGCAGGTCACCGCCAGGGGTCGGGTCACGGCTCATCGCCGCCAATCCATCAGCGCGCGCGGGACGGCGTCGACTCCGATGTCACAGGGACCGCGGCGCGCGGCGCGAGAGAAATGCCGCAGTGGAGCCGCGCTCGCCGCAGGTGGCGGTGCTGTCCTCGCCCTGCCCGCCCGTCCGTCCGTCCCGGTGTCGGCGGTCGCCGCCGTCGGATCGCGCAAGCGGGAGTCAGCCACCGCCGCTGATGCCCGTCATGCAGAAGAAGGCGGAGTAGTTTGGACGGCGCTTTCAAAAGCTGCACGTCTCCGCGCTCACAGCACTGGGTGAAAGGTCAGGCGCCCATTGGCTGGCTCTGAGCCTGACTTGCGTATAATTGGACGAAGGCGGATTTTCAACCTAAGCGATCCGCCCCGTCGAAGTATGCTCCGAGAGGACTTCCGCCCATTACTGAGTTTCATGAATACAGTTGTGGCCAGAGGAGGAGGGGGGGGGGGGGGGTCGGGGTCGGCACAGGGACGTAGCCAATAGGAGGTGTGCAAAACAGGCAGACTGTTAAAGGATCATTCGAAAGCATTGCTCATGTAGGCTCTGGCCAGTCGTCATGCTGTCGAGCTGTTCTTCTAGCATGACTAACTCAACAGCAGAATAATTCCTTGCCATCATTGGAAAGAAACTAACCGTGAAGTCAAATTCAAAGCAGCATATTTGGTGATTCGAGCCAGACACTGAACTGCGAGTGGCTGCCGCTGTCTGCGTGCTTTGAACGGGCTCAGGATTGCAGTTTTGTGACCACTCTTCTGTGCGTCCCCTCCTGCTAAACCCATCATGCTGCTCCCTTCTCGGCACTCTTAGTACGCTAGCAGCGCCCTTGTCATCCGACGCGCAATGTATCCGCTTCGTCGGAGAGTTGCTCCATATTACAGGCTGCATTATATTCGAACAGTGTACATATTTGAGTACCTTTATGTGGAATGAAATATGTGTGAATTATATTGCACTTAATTACATCACAATTTTATTGTATAATGCTCAAATTGTACACTACTTTTATGTTGTATACTTTCTTATGTTGTATCTGCTACAGATTAGAGATACCGCAAGTTCTCATCCCTACCGTGAGTGGAGAAGAACACTTGTTGCGATATTGACAAATGACGTGTTCAGGACGTTTGTATTCATACGGCATTGGGTTTGCTGACAACTATTTTATTGCGATAGCATAAATTGCCTCGGGTGGGTCGATTCCATCGTTGAGTTCTGTATTTACGACGAGCCCCAGTGCTCGTCGTTCACTCAAATTGTCATAGTCATCCGATAATATCGAGGCTTCGCCCTCGGATGCTGCCTCCATTATGATAAGCGCTGTACGTTAGGTTGGACAGAAAAGTAAATGAAGAAACATGAATGAGTCCAGTCACTACAAAGCAGTACGACACATGTTCCAATGCCTTCGGCCAGGTCCGCAGTTCCTTGTGCTGTAACAAGCTTGGTCATCTGTGCTTGCATTGGCACAACATACAGAGTTAACCGTCGCATTGCAGACATGGATCGATTAAGTAGTTTCTCCGTTAGATTACCAGGAAGTCATGCGAGTTGACGGTGGTGTTCGCTTTTCGTGGGGTCCAGGTCAAAAACACCCTAAAACTCGAAAAAAACGCACAACAAAACTCTCAAAACGGGAATCAAACACCTTGTCCACATTTTCTTCGTTCAGCAAACATCGAGCGGTCGAAAGAGAACAAAACAAGCCGAGTGCAAAGCAGGGTGGACCGTTACGCTCAGCGCCAGCGCCGCATCGAACTCCAGTCATCACCGCATCAACGTCCCGCTGCCTGCCCAGCCAGCCGGGCCGGACTGCGCCTGCTCGGTGACGACATCATGCAGCTTTGATGGCCGGATCCGTTGTGTGCGGGGACCCCCCTACGCTCCAGTAGCCGCGCCGGCCTGAGCGGCCGGCCGCCGGCGTCCCCGCGCGGTCGGGTCAGCACGCTCGGGTCCCGGCGCGGTCGGGTCAGCACGCTGGGGTCCCAGCGCGGCCGGGTCAGCACGCTGGGGTCCCGGTGCGGCCGGGTCGGCACGCTCGGGTCCCGGCGCGGTCGGGTCAGCACGCTGGGGTCCCAGCGCGGCCGGGTCAGCACGCTGGGGTCCCGGTGCGGCCGGGTCAGCACGCTGGGGCCCCGGTGCGGCCGGGTCGGCACGCTGGGGTCCCGGTGCGGCCGGGTCAGCACGCTGGGGCCCCGGCAGCCCCCGCGTCGGCGCCGGCGTCGCCCGCGACGCCGGCGGGGAGGGCCTCTCCCCTCGCTGCGTCAGGCCAATCTGGTGGTTAGCGAAACCGGACACCCGCCGAATCATTAGCCTGAGAAACGAGGAAGATAACCACCGTGCACCCGTGATAAATGGCGGGGCTCGTTACGACCTGGGCCGGCGTGGAGGCACGTACGACGCGTTACGACCGACGCGCCGTTCTAACGCGCCGACAGGCGGCTGGGCTGACTCGCTGGGCTCGCGACCGGCTGCACCAGTCGGTCCAGTTGTACCACTCCGACCAGTTGGAGACCAGTTGAGCCAGTTGGACAACTTCAGTCACTTTGACCAGCTGGACCACTTACACCAGTTGGTAGTGCACGGGGAGGGTGCGAGACTTGGTCTAGCTAAGGTGGACATGGTGCAAACGAAATTGCCCGCGCAGGTATGATTGCCATGAATGGGCAACATGGTATCATGACATGGGTAATTACTTCGCTAGCCGATCTGGATTGTGTGTGTGTGTGTGCGTGCGTGCGTGCGTGCGTGCGTGCGTGCGCTTGTGTGTGATGAAGGAGAATCGAGGCAGCGAGTCTTTTGTCAGTACTACAATGATGTGGGCTGGGACGGGCAGAATAGATGCACATTGGAACTTTTGAGGTGTTTAAGACGAAGATCGCAAACTGGTGTGTGAAATAATGACAACCTGGATATTTGGTGTGCTACCTGATACCGCACTGATGCAAACTGACAAATATATCACACAGGTGCCAAAGCTTGGGCGAGGTGTGAATTGAATTCTTGAGAATGGGTGGGTGAGTGGGTGAGTGGAAACCTACCAACTCCATAATCAGACAGAAATGTTTCAACTTGTTGCATCCTTATGCTGTCTTTGCAGTGCGTTATCATGTGTCCATTAAGATAATAAAATACAGTGTGACATAGTCCATATGCATAGTCCATCTGACTATATATTTCCGAAGAGCAGTGCAAGGACCCAATGTCGGATCGGGAGCGGGCCACGGCTGGCGACCCGCCCCGGCTGCGCTGTCCTCAGTCCGAGCCCTGTGGCTGACGCGAGCCGGCCGTTTCAGCAGCGAGCCGAGCCTGTTCGGAGCGCTGGAGCGGGCCGGCGCCGACCCTGCCGGCTGCGGCGTGGCTGCCTTCGCGCCCTGGGGCTACCTGCCGCCGCCGCCGCCGCCGCCCTGCAGCCTGGGCGCCGCCGCCGCCGCGCACGGCCTGGACTTCGCGCTGGGCCGGCCCTCCAGCATCGCCAGCGCGCTCCTCAACGGCTGACCGCCGCCTCCGCCGCGACGGCACGGAGCCTGCGGTGACGTCAGGCGGACTGTTGGTGACGTCAGGCGGGCTGTCGGTGACGTCAGGCAGGCTCTTGGTGACGTCATGCGCCGGCCCGTGGCGGACGAGCGCTCGTGTGACGATCCCGCCGTTACGTCGGCGGGAGCGGTGTTGTTATGTGTGGGAGTGACGTCATAGGCGCGGCTTGTGACGTCTTGGGTCGCGTGCTGCTACGGCGGCGGCCCATGTCTGAGAGTTGAGATGGCGTTGTTGGTGTGCTTTCCGGTGGGGATACGTTATCGACCGCTACTGATGCCCAGAGCTTGGAAGAACGGTCAGTGGTAGCATTGTTGTCTGATGTCGAACGGGACGTGACTGCCTCAAGAAGGGACCCTGTGAAGTTGTTTATCCAAGGCGACCGCCGCAGCTCGTGGCGCGTGGGAGGCGTGCTGATTATGATCTGACAATCCTAAGCGTTGATTCCGAATCGGCTTTGTTTTGATTGCGAATCGACTGAAAAAGGTGCGTCGTCTGTGAGCTTATCGACTTTGCGAAATTATCCCACCTCCCAGTGACAGCGGTTTTGTCGGGATACGGGAAAGAATGCACCGCTTATGGAGCTGCCTTTATTTCGATGCTTTACCACCCACATCGTAACACGTGACTCAGTTGCCGTCCAAAGGCTGGGGGATGCCGTTTGTTGGTCAGCATACTGCTCACAATAATGACGCAAGGACAGTCAAGCACCGTGCATCACGGTGCTCTTGTCGGAGGCCCCGGCCGAAATGTCCTGAGAATACGCTGCGCTACGGGCAATGGCCCGACAATAAAGACGACATTCGTGATAGCTTTGTCTTGTCAGAAGCGTTTGCAAGAGAAGACACGGGCCTGTGCTCGTCTTCCTTTGAGACACAGTGGAAGAGAGATTGGCAACAAAGGAAATAAAGCACCCAAAGAGCGTTCTATCTTAGCTTGCTTTCGACAACTCACCGAACGTGAAGCGTACAAGAGCACCAGGGTCAGCACAAGTTTTTGGGGAAAAAGTTCAGATGTAAAAAATGCTTGTAAATAACGTAGGTAAGCAATTGTCACGCAAATGCACTTAAGGCACGAAATCCGTGTGACGGAAGCACGTACTTACATGTCCATACGAAAAAGTGCGCACGCAAAGGTGTGCATGGTTCAAAGTACGGTGGAAAATGTTGGCATTGACATAAGTTTATCAAAAGAAAAGGTCGCACGAAAAAAAGTTAGCATACATTAGATACATACGTAATTGTCCGTAATCAACCCAACGTCCGCATATGTTCGTAGCGGATAAAGATGGTTTGACAAAAGAGCGCACGCAAAAGTTGATGAGCAGCATAGGCGGAGGAACGGCGTTCGTGGGAGCATCCCATTTTCCGAGGATGCTGAACATGATGGTTATGGCGATGCGTGAAGAAAATTGATCCCAGGATGCGAGATGATGCCTACTTAGGGAGTGTTCCCGGATGAATAGAAAATCAGGGCAGCAAGTGATGCGCCGTCGGCAATCAAATTTCGTTGAAACTTGATTTGCGGAAGCCTTTTTTATTTCAAATTGGTGTTAAGTGTACAATATCTAGCAATGTCCAGCGTACAGTTTAAAAATGCTACTTTCGGACAATGTTGGGTCGAGTGCAAACAAGCTAATCGAGTGGGGCGTATCAAGCTGGGTCCAGCCGGCGCATCGTTCTCTCGGGGCTCTGACTAACCTTACATGCGCAACAGCGAACCAATCGTCACTGGTACGTCTGCCCGCCGCATTCCACAAACGAGCTAGCTCGCCGCGGCACTCAGCTGGCGCCAGAGGCGAGCTCAGGGGACGTCTGGAGGAGCCGCCGACGGCGACGTCGTCAGGGTGAGGGATAGAGGAGCAACACGATCGACCCGGTGGGTGATCTGCAGTGGAGAGGTTTCATTTCAAGTCCCTAAATATCCAGTCCCCGTCATCCTAGAGTCATGTGGCACTACCCAATTGATTCGGGTTTATCTGCTGGGCGCCTCAGAGCGCTTAAGTTCACATCACGTAGGGACATGCTATTCATAATAATTGACCTGGCTGATGCACTTATCGCTATTTGCCGCCATCCCCTACCCCTTCCCTTCCCGGTCGAAGGGATGTGGTGGCCCCAGCAGTGGCCATTCGTCCGGCGCCTGGCATCAAGGATGGAGGATTCGAACTTGCAGTATGCATCTACATCTTTTGAGCGAGTCCTTTTGTCAAACGAAACTCCTCCCTGAGAAAAAGCTGCGTGCAAACTTTGGTTTGTTCAGTCAAATATTGAAATGCGATCCCTTACTTACGTACCTTTGTACGGTACGGTTGTACGGCTGTCTTGAAGTTTGCTCCCGAACACCTGCATGCAAACGAATGTTTATAACTAAGGGTGTCACTTTCCAAAATCGGTTGGGGGGGGGGGGGTGCTGAGCCGAAAAGGTTGACCTGGCCTACCCACAAAACCTGATTCCCCCCAGCATTTTGACCACTTCAATTCACTTCTTCGATATGGAAAATACTTATTTGTAATGTATCGTAGGCCCAGAGTTGTTTCCCGGTGGATGAATCCTTCCCATTTTAAATTAGGTAGAGATGCCTTTTTGTGAAAAGTCTAGAATGGGGTAAAATATGCAGAAAACACATCCTTGTAGGGGAGAGGCGGGATAATTGGGACGATGGAGAATAGGGACACGCAAATATCTCAGAGATGGGCAGCTCCGGATCACCATTGTACACTCATGTTTTTCTGTTTTGTATCAGGCAAGGTTGGAAACTATCAGCTTACCTTTTCCGGTGCACAGGAACGCTGCACGGGGTGAGTGCCAAAAAACTATACTTTTCGAGTGCTATTTCGAGCTGTGTGTGTTGTTCATGTCAATCCATCTTTTCTTTTAACTATTTCACATTGTAAGCCCACATAATGTTAATCTTCTTGCTGGCATTTAAAATTATATAAGCCAATTGACAAACGGCGGAGAACTCGTCTAGTAGCTGGCGTGCGCTGCAGGAGAATCGGGACGCCCGTCCCTATTGTCATGCAGATGTCCCAATTCTCCTGCAGGAACCATTAACGTCACCCATGCATAATACTATTCGTACCTATAAATTGATATAACTGTTGTTATCGAAACTTACCTGTTTTCTTCTTTCAGAACCATGCCACGTGTATACGTTAGAAAAGAAAAGGGGTACGCGGACGTATGTCATGATTCAATGCTGCTGGCTGTCAAAGATGTTGTAGTAGGGGGAGTGAGTCTGAGAAAATCTGCAGAAGCCCACAGCGGGAGCAAAAGCGTCCTTGGAAGGTATGTCACAAAGCACAGTGTCGATCCTGCAGCTCGTCTTGAGCCCAACTACAGTCATTCGAAGATATTCACTGCTGACGGGGAGCAAGCCCTCAGTGAATATGTGATGCAGTGCTCGAGGATGTTCCATGGCTCAACGCACAAGCAAACACGTGAAATTGCCTACGAAATGGCAGTTAAAATGACAAATATTTTCCCGCCTCCTGGGCTGAAAATGAAGAAGCGGGGCGAGAGTGGATGAAGGCCTTCATGAAAAGGAACACCCAGCTGGCACTGTGGAAACCTGAAGCTACATCCATCGCGCGAGCTGGAGCCTTCAACAGGTACAATGTCGAGGAATTCTTCGGAAACCTGTCTGGGGTCCTGAAACAGACGGGAGTCTCAGGTGCGAGGATTTTAAATTTAGATGAAACTGGAGTCACGACCGTACAGAAGCCTGGAAAAGTCATTGCTGGAAAGGGATACGAACAGGTCAGGAAGGTCACCTCTGCGGAGAGGGGTGAAATTGTCACGATGTATGTCGCTGTGGCTGCCACTGGTGTATACCTTCCCCCTGCCTACGCCTTCCCAAGGATGACTCTTCGGGAGAATCTGATGGAAGGCACCCCGGAAGGATCGCTGCAGCTGTGTCACAGCAGCGGGTGGATGACGCCTGAAAATTTTGAGAAGGTGATGCAGCACATTGTGAAGCACATGGGGGCAAGCAAGGACAATCCAGTCGTCATTGTGCTTGACAGTCACGTCAGCCATGTCAGCCTGAACGTGTTGACGTTGGCGAAGGACAGTGGAGTCCACATCGTGTCTCTACCTCCTCATACGAGTCACAGGCCCCAACCGCTCGATGTCAGCGTCTTCGGTCCGATGAAGACAAGCCCCAACAAGCAGGTAGGCAGCTGGATGCTTCCAAACGCGGGAAAGCCTATCAAGCTTCTAAACATGGGGAAGCTCATGGGGCAGACGCCAATCCGTTCGGCCACCCCAGCCAACATCCTACCCGGCTTTCGAACGACAGGAATCTGACCACTGGACACTGAAGTCTTCACCAAGGATGACTTCCTTCCCGCAGACGTGACCGACAGACCAACTCCCTCAGCGACTGCAGAAGCGCCCGGGGTGGCTGAAGACGACACACACGAAGCGGACACACAGGAAGCGGACACACACGATACAAACACACATGAAGCGGGCGCACACGAAGATGACACACACGAAGTGGATACACACGAAGAGGACCGCGTCGAGAGTCCGGAGCCTCCATCCCTCTCAAGGAGGTCGACTGATCCGGTTGACCGGCATCTGGAAAGGCCACCATTTGCAAGCAACGAACCGGATGCAGTTCCTTGGCCGTCACGGGCTCCAGCTGAGGTCCAAGGAGGTGACCCACTCAGCCCAGCATCTCCCGCAATCCGGCCTGCCTCACTGCAAGGAGTTTTTGGGATATCCGAAAGTGAGTTCTTGTTATCCCAATTTCTTCCTTAAACCGATAAAGCAGCAATGATAAAGTAACATTAAACCGACCCCAGATCGCCCATACGATCCTTAAGAAAACATTGCTCATTATTGAACTGTCTTATATTTTCGTGATCATAAATTTCCTTTCGTTTTCACCTTTCCTATGTTCGTTGATTATGTTCTAATGCCTCAAAATATAGTTTTTTAGCGGATAATTTTGTATCCCAAAGGATCCTCCAGTGAGCCATGTTGTCAAATGCCTATGCCTATGTTCCATAACCATATCTTTACACTTCCTTGTCCTACATCTCTTAAGGCAGGACCCAAAGTGGAGCCGAGTCGTCGAGGGCGGAAAAAGGAAAGACCATGGTGGCCACGAGTACACCAGAGCTGCAAAGAGAAAAGGAGGAACAGGAGAAGAAGACCCGAAAGTCGCAAGCCAAACACAAGCGTTTGTCAAAGCGACTATTCGATGCCAAGAGCAACACCGCTAACACGAAAGGTAAGAAGAGAAAGCTGGGAGGTGCAAAGGACTTGCCAAAGGCTGACAATAAAGCGTCGTGTCTGTAATGTGGGATGCAGTATAGGCTCAGCCGTAAATCGTGGATCCAGTGTACAACATGTCAAAAGTGGGCGTGCTTGCCGTGTACCGACGCAACAACCTGGCAGGCGCAGTTTGTCTGTGGCGTCTACCGAGACTGATGATCCGCTCATCCGCTGTGATCCGATACGATCCACTATGACGCGGGTATTGCATTAGCTGTGCTCATTTAACGTGATTAGTACGATGTGTAGGAAGTTTTGTGACCGTTTACGTTGTTAAATGGGCGCCTAGGATAGGTACCGATATTGCTAGTCATGTGATCCGTTGTGTTGTCATCACCGCATTGGCTGTGCAGATTCAACGGAGTAGCACGACGTTCAGGAAGTTTTGTGACAGTTGCTTTGCCTGTTTGGTGCTTAGACTGCCGATACTGTGAGCCCTACGATTCGCTGTGATACAAGTATCGCACTGGCTGTGCTGATGAGTGATTATGTGATGTGTCGGAAGTTTTCGACCGTTGCCATTGCCTAGTATGTGCCTAGACTGCCAATGTTCATAGTCATATGATCCGCTGTGCCGCAAGTAGCGCATTGGCTGTGATGATTTAACGTGATTATTACGACTGCAGGTTGTGTGGTGGTGTCGTCTGGGTGTTGTGTAGACTGCCGGCATTACCACTACCCGTAACCCAACGTTACCCTGATACACATAAGGCATGCCAATTTTGTCCTGTGAACAGGCACCATCCTTCATTTTTCTATATGTATTTTTGTCCGTAACTCAGCAACACAAGACTGGTGAGAAGCTGACTTCAGGACTGGAAAACATCGGGAAACCCCGAACATAATGAGAAAAATAATGCAGATCTGTGGCTTCCTGTTCTCTAAAGCGATTCGCTGAGAGTTTCCATCTAGACACAGAAATTACATCCGCTCTTAACAGAGGTCATCGGTGTGCGATGGGCTGTTCCTTGCGCGGCCCACCCTAGCACCAGTACGCTGTCTTATTGCAGTCTGAGCACTCAAACAGCTCTTCTGCACCTGTAATGTTTTAAATCTCGTTAGAACGAAACGGCACAGCATCACATTTTAGCTACCAACGTCCGCTTGCCATAAGTTCCAGCCCAGCTAGACGAAGCTGTTTTGTTAGTTGGTAGCGGCCCGACCGTGGCTCACATTTTCGTCGGGGTGGAAGTGCAATGTAAAATTTTCTCCGAAACCCAGCAAATTCGGGTCAAATTCCTGCGAAACTGCCCCTTGCTGAGTGCAAAAACTTGGCTAATGCGAGGGGTGCATGACCCCGTGGCCTGTCCAGGCAATCCGACGTCCCTGCTGGCAACACAGGCTACATAGGCCATAGGTATGTGAGAATACAAATCAGAGGAATCCAGCTCCCAGCTGGAGGTTCTAATTGGGTAATTTCCGAGGATCAGCTGTGTTGTCTACTGAGAGCCAGACGCCGGCAGTTTGCGTTCTTCGCACACACTGAACACTGTTGCAAGCGTCATCTATCAGAGAAAGAAAACCTCACTGATATCTGTATAGGTGGCAGCACATAACTCAGACCGAGACTACGCGGTACCGCGCACCAACAGCCCTGCTTTTCGGCCGGCCTAGGGCTATATGCAGGCACTCTGGCGGGACTTTTACCGGTGTTGCACTTCTGCCGGGGCGGTACTCCTGCCGGGAAGGATTCCTGCCACGCGGGACTCCCGCCGGGGCGGGACTCCTGCTGGGCGGGACTCCTGCCGAGGCGGGACTCTCGCCCAGGCGAAACTCCTGCAGGCGTGGGATTCACGTCGGAACGGGACTCCTGCCAGACAGGACTCCTTTCGGGGCGGGACTCTTACCGGTTTGAGACTCAGGCCGGGACGGGACTCGCGTCGGGGTGGGACTCCTGCCGGGGAGGGACTCCTGCCGAGGTGGGACTTTCGCCGGGGTGGGACTCCCGACGGGACGGGACTCCTGTCGAGAGGAGGGGGGGAGGGGGCTCCCGCAGAAGTGACTGTGAGGTCGTTTATCGGCGCCTGCGACATGTTCACAGAAAGACGGAGCGTCGTGGACATATGCGATTAATCGATCCGCAGCACGGCCGGTGGCCCGTAGCCGCTCGAAGCGACGCGACAGCCAAAGTCTCCGAGAGGGTAAAATGACAGAGGAGAACCAAAGGCCCACGAGAACCATACGGCTCTGGCGGGTGAGTTGTCCCCAGATGCCACCGGGACGGACAGCTGCATGGTTCCGGGCCCAGGATACCAGAGAGTATTAGGGTCTGAAAACGTCGCGAAATCCGATGGTCAAGAAAATGAGTCAGTCTGCTGAATCAATGACAGCTGAGTAGCTAATTAACGTGGCGAGATTGAAACGTTGGGCTTCCAGTGAGGGTGAACGACCAGGATACTGAATCTATGGACCACTTAAATCGCGTTACGGATTGAGAATTCGCCCAATCTTGAAATGTGCAAAGCTTGAGCAGGCATTTCTGTTTCCACTGACGCGTTTGTGTCTTTGGCCCCTGAGGTAATCTAGGATCCTCACATCTATGAAGTAGCGCAAGATATCCGAGAAATCCAAAGACGAAAATGACCATCTTGATGAAACTAGGGACCTTGAGATGGTTAAGCGACTCAGCCACCAATGCGGCTCCATAGTCCTGCCGTGTCGAAGAAGCAAAACAACGCTATGGGCTTGCACCTGACGCCGATTAACGGCATCTCGGCGTCCCGTGGATCTATCCATGGGAAGTTAAATGTTTCGTGCCATTCCATTTTCCACTTTGTTTTATTGTAATCAAAATTACATGCTTTAGTGCAATTAACAGCACACTCATTGCTGGCACTAAATTTCGGCGTCTTGCTGGCTCCTTCTTCCATGAACTCGTAACGACCATGAGGGATGATAGCGAACTGCTGTCAGCTGGCTCAGTGTCAAAAGTTAATCCGGCCACGCCACATAACTTTGGAGTTGGCACGGCCACTGTCATGCATGCCATGCCACCTTCGCCACCTAAGTCCACACGTCCTTGTTAGTGTTTATTTAGGGATCAAAATCCCAGCTTCTCATAAACTTAGGATTTGGTTGCCTGATTTTTGTAGATCAACAACCACCACTGGGCATCGACGGCCGCCGTACACGAAAGAACGTTCTAACTCACTACTTTTGCAGCCTGCATATTTATGGTCTGTGCTTTTTTGTGGAGGCAGTGAGTACAAACCGCTGTAGAACCCGACCGGCGCGGGACAGATGTGTTTTAGTATTGCACGGTATAAAATATATCCATCAACAGTGTTATCTGGCTACCAAGACAAAGTTATCGGTAAAAATTTGTACTCAATTGTTGAACCAATACCTCGCTTGTCCGGTAAAAGGTCGGACTGCACGAACTGTTTGAAATATCTGGTGAATATTGTCCTTTGCTCACACAGCGGGCTTGATGACAAACTTTAAGATTCTGGCATGCGTAAAAGCAATTTTTTTTTGTTCTTTTAGCGCCTAAAGTACCGACTGGACCTCCCGTTTTTTTCTGCGATACCGCCAAGTTGTCCCAGTTTGCAGGCCTGTGCTTGGCTCGAGGCTAATGACGGGTGCACCCTTCACGAACCGATAACAAAGAGACGCGATCGATCGGGTCACCTTAGTAGAGATACATGCTTCACACACAGGTACCCCATGCTGTTCAGCTTTATATTTTGCAGAGGTTCTACCTTCAGTGACGTTGGTAACTTCAGTGACTTCAATCGCTGGGCCGAAATTTTCCGCACTTCCCCGGCCCATGAATGGTTAAGGTAGGTTGAAAATGAAATGACTGGCAGGATGTGAGCGTCACGGAATCATTACGTCACTGGGCACCAGTTTGTCAAATGCAGTGATGAAATTTCCTGACAACAAAAATAACATGCACTGGCAACACGTTGGTATTCGTCAACGCTCAGAGTCGGTTCAATACCTGATTTGTAAGGCGTAGTTGATGGTCTTATCCCTGTCTTTTCAAGGAACGCAATGACAGGTTCTTTCTGTTACCAAGAGTAAATGCTTGATTTAAACAAATCGCCATGTCATCAGGTGTTCTAGAAATATCAACAGGCATGTGCGATGTCCAGTGAAAACATTGAGTTGTTAAAAGCAAGTGCAGGTGTAAGAGAAAATATGCAAGAATCGCAAAAATCACGGGCAATCAAGAATGGTTTCACTTTTTGTAGCGCTTGTTCACCTTGTTTAAATTTTTGTTCACGTTGCTTCATGTGATGGCTGGTTGTTGCCTGTTATGTGTTCCGTGTTAAGAGCATGGATATTGGTGAGGTGAATAAGGCAGATGACTGAAACACGGAAACAATCTCGTCACAGATGCAAAATGAGTGTGCTCACATCTTTTGCATTTTCACAAAATTCAGCCACGCAACTATTCCGCGTCAAGTTGCTCTGCATATATTTGATACTAACCGTATATTCAGTGCAGGTACCCGACACAATCGTTGGCGACACAAATATGAATAATACGCTGGAAAATCATTTGACGTTGTGCGATGCAGTTTTGCAATTAACAGTGCTGATAATGGCCCATTTTTATGACACGGAAATACCCATTTACGTACTTTTAAATCGTTTTGCACAAGCACACATCCAGGCAGGGTGCATTTGGCGTCAAGCCTGGAGCTAAAAGTGGGCTATTACCGGACTTTGCGGAAAAAACTTCGTCGTTTTTGAAAACCGCGATGTACATTGCGCTTATAAAATGGCTTAGGTTAACAGCTTCGTTTTATGAAGCCGGCCTGCTTGCCTGCGTTAGGCCGCAAAACAAATATATCGGCTATTTCACAGATAGCCTTGCCGATGCAAATACTGGCTCGGGTACACTTATGGATAACGCTTGTGCCAGGCATAAGTGCACGCCAGCTTTTATAAAAACACCGCCGATCCCCGCGCATGACCATTGTCCATTAATTATGACAAAAAAACATTTACCTCACACAGAAACATAGTCCCACGATTCGCTGGTAGCAACATATCGCTCTTAGCACTGCTAACACCGCTGGTTTCGTCTCATCCCCATCTGCAGCATAGAGGAACCCATTGCCAAATCGTTCCTGAAATTGGAAATCAAAAACAAAAAAAAGATGAAATTTCGTGCTCGGACTACAGCTTTTGCAGAGGTCGGTGTGAGGTGTCCCTATGGGGTGGCCTACTGGATGGTGGTCCTTACGGGATGTTAAATCACATTTTGACGTCTTTGCGTGGAAAACAGCATAATTATATGATCTCAAAGTAACGCTGGTTGAAGTCGGAGCACGCCACCAATTGCATCCGAAGGTGATTAGAGGTTATCTGAAGTCGTTCAGTGGTCTCAAATGGCCTTGGCTTTTGATGACATTGCGGTTTCAAGCTTAATGCATGAAGATGATTACTTTTATAACGCTATCACACCTAAGCGTGGCCTTCCCTTTCTCTCCTCCGGTTTAACCCTCTTGCTCTTTCGAATATAAACACACGGGCTGAAAGTGAAACGCTCAGAAGTGAAAATCCCTGCGGCGATTCTACAAACAACGCAGTTTGTTCATTGCAACGCCCTTTCCCAGAACGGCCCTGTATCTTATGTCTTAAAAATCTACCCTGTTCTGAATTATTCCGCTACTTCAATGACATTCTTGCACTGCACCGCGCTTCCGCCGACCTGGCAGCGGTAGATCCTCTGCACCGCATCTGGCCGACTCTAAAACGAGGCAGGCTTGGCACAGCGGGGCTCGAGGCCGAACACACATGACATCAGAACACAACGCTGCATATGTAGGCTATGCTGCACAAGGTGTGCAACGCTATAAGCGAACCATTGCAGCAATAGTACACCTTTTGCTGCCGTATCCGACCAAAGACAGAACGGATGGGACGTTGCTTTCAGCGGTTATCGCGCGACAAAATCCGTAGTTGCCATAACGGGCACCGCCTTCACTCGTCAACGTAGGCGTCCTCTACTTACGGACAACAAAGAACGTGTTGTCGTTGGCTACCTACGACAGCAAAAAGATGTAGCAGCGCTGTCGAAGCAGCGACATGGCACAGCGTAGCGCCGCAACTCTGCACGGAGCCCCTCTCCATGGAACGGCCGAAGACGTCCTCGGGAGTCTCCAGGTCGAACTGCTGGTCTACACGGAGCCCCTCTCCATGGAATGGCCGAAGACGTCCTCGGGAGTTCCAAGTCGAACCGCTCGTCTGCACGGAGGCCCTCTTCAGGGAGCAGCCGAAGACGTCCTCGGAGGTCTCCAGGTCGAACCGCTCGTCTACACGGAGGCCTTCTTCAGGGAGCGGCCGAAGACGTCCTCGGGGGTCTCCAGGTCGAACCGCTCGTCTACACGGAGGCCCTCTTCAGGGAGCGGCCGAAGACGTCCTCGGGGGTCTCCAGGTCGAACCGCTCGTCGTCGCGTGTCTCAGTGATGTGGGCCGGCTCCCCCGGCACCGCGTCCAGCAGGTGGGAGATACGGGACGGGCGGCGCGTGGTGCCGTACCTGCCGGGTCAGCCGAGCTCAGCCTAGGTCAGAGGTCACAGGCCAGCTGAGGTCGCTGGTCACAGATCAGCCAGCGAACATACGCCGGGTAGACGTGGCGGTCGGAGTTAGGCTGCATGCAGGGTAGTAACTTTTGGGGATTATTTATGCGTTTGGGTGCTGCCAGAATCAAATTTGGACAGCAGCAGTTTTTTTAAACTGTCGTACCTAGTATAAGACTTGGCGTGCAGGTTATTCCATGCCCAAATGGACCGCAGAAATGCATATCAAATGCTCAGTAAGCCGCTTTGGAAGCGAAACACACAGCTATTTCCGTGTTGCGTTTTGTGTGCTATTTTCGTGCACTTGTAATATAAAAATGTCCTCATCTTCCCTGCGACCTTCGTCTTGGTCGCGCACATCTGTATCCCAAACCCTGAGCTGTTCCGCGGTACGTAGCTGCTGTGCGGAACAGACCGAGTCTGGCCCCTCCCAGCTGACCTGTCGGACTGAGTGCGTCGTGAGCCCGGCCATGACCCCCTCTGCACAGCGGTTACGTATTGTGACCAGCGCAAGATATCTGGTTCCGCTGTGGCAGCCAAAGCGGGGGCCGCTGAAAAGGGAAGCTCCTTTCCAAGCTTACGGTAATAATGCGTGGAAGGAAAACAGTGGAAAAGTTCCTCCCTGTCCGATAAACGTCCTTCAGTGGTGCATACACGATTCCGGGGCCTCGTCCTGAGCGCTCCTACCTACCCCTCCCTCCTGAAGGGTGTCTCAGATCACACTTGCAGGGACACACAGACGTTTGGGAGACAAAGGTCACGTTCTGAGCCCTCTAACTTGGCCGTTCCTCCCGGATAGTTTCTCGAGTAGCAGGCGCAGGAGTACGCAGACGGGTGGGAGACAACTCTTACCTGTCCCTCCCTCCCGGAGAGTGTCTCGGGTAGCACGTGCAGGAGCACACGGACGTGTGGGAGACAACTGTTACCTGCCCCTCCCTCCCGGAGAACGTCTCGGGTAGCACGTGCAGGAGCATACGGACGGGTGGGAGACAACTCTTACCTGTCCCTCCCTCCCGAAGAGTGTCTCGGGTAGCACGTGCAGGAGCACGCGGACGGGTGGGAGACAACTCTTACCTGTCCCTCCCTCCCGGAGAGTGTCTCGGGTAGCACGTGCAGGAGCATACGGACAGGTGGGAGACAACTCTTACCTGTCCCTCCCTCCCGGAAGATGTCTCGGGTAGCACGTGCAGGAGCATACGGACGTGGGGGAGACAACTCTTACCTGTCCCTCCCTCCTGGAGAGTGTCTCGGGTAGCACGTGCAGGAGCACGCGGACGGGTGGGAGACAACTCTTACCTGTCCCTCCCTCCCGGAGAGTGTCTCGGGTAGCACGTGCAAGAGCACACGGACGTGTGGGAGACAACTTTCACCTGTCCCTCCCTCCCGGAGAGTGTCTCGGGTAGCACGTGCAGGAGCATACGGACGGGTGGGAGACAACTCTTACCTGTCCCTCCCTCTCGGAGAATGTCTCGGGTAGCACGTGCAGGAGCACACGGACGTGTGGGAGACAACTTTCACCTGTCCCTCTCTCCTGGAGAGTGTCTCGGGTGGGACGTGCAAGAGCACGCGGACGGGTGGGAGACAATTCTTACCTGTCCCTCCCTCTCGGAGAGTGTCTCGGGTAGCACGTGCAGGAGCATACGGAGGGGTGGGAGACAACTCTTACCTGTCCCTCCCTCCCGAAGAGTGTCTCGGGTAGCACGTGCAGGAGCACGCGGACGGGTGGGAGACAACTCTTACCTGTCCCTCCCTCCCGGAGAGTGTCTCGGGTAGCACGTGCAGGAGCATACGGACGTGTGGGAGACGAAGCTCATGGTCTCCGGTGTCTGGTGCGACATCTGGGCGATCATGTTGCCTGGCAACGCGAAACCAGTTGTTACAGCGGTCGAACTCGGCATCCTTAAAAAAGACGTGTTACTCGCGTCGTTCCGGACACGGAGACCGCGTGATTCTAACTCGGAGACCGCATCGTTCGGACTCGGAGACCGCGTCGTTTCGGACTCGGAGATCATTTCGAGGCGTCCCTTCATCAGGGCAAACGCTACTCCCCATCAATATCCGGTCGACACAATCACGGACAATGCCACCAGCGGCGGCCAGTCACGTGTCGACGCCGCGTCTCCGAAGAGCGACGTCCGCCGCTCGGCTGCAGTCGACCGCCCGGACCACTCACCGTTGATGATGAGCGACTCTCCATCCAGCGACAGGAAGGAGGAGGCCGGCTGCATGTCCCCGTCCACCTGCTTCACGTCCTCGGTGTTCCTGGAAGAGCGACGGCGTGACTGGGACAGAGCCGGCGGGGCCGAGCCTCGACCGGGACAGAACGCGAGCCGCCACAGCCTGCTTGGCACGCAGTTTTGGGTTTTCCCAGGACAAGTGAGACCATCCTATTGGCCTGCTTCACAAGCCGGCCACGCCCATGACAGATGACTGCTAGATTACAGATTACGGTGGGAGATTACAGATTACGGTGGGAGATTACAGACTACGGTAGGAGATTACAGATTACGATGGGAGATTACAGATTACGGTGGGAGATGGGAACAAAAATGACGTTTTATGGAGTACAGAATGAAGAGTGGCATGACGGCGACATTCGCACCCAGCCGGACTAACGCCACTTCGCACCAGTTCAGCACTATTCAGGTCGCTTACAAACGCTGACACGAATGGTCAGCATTACCGCCGTCCCATTCATTTGCCAGTTGGTTTCCATCATACTGCAACGTACAAACTGCTTCGAGGTTTTGTGAGCGAGGTTTTTACGTTTCCCCTCCATATTCATGAGGTATAAATCGTATGACCATTAGTTTTTTCAAGTGCTTTTAAGGGTGAGTCCTACGCTAAGAGTATATTTCAAAAACGTACTCTAGTAAAACATGAGGACTAGCTGGTCTAATGATAGCACTGAGAAGTGCCGCTGCAACACCGTCGAGACACGATTAGCATGCTAATTGCAATGATTTTCGAGTCAAACTTATGCTCTGAACGCTTTGTAACAGCACTACGCTCCTCATCGCACAAATATGCAGCACTGCCTCTGTCCCCGTCGGCGTAAACGGCTACGGGTCCATGACGGGGCCCTACAGAGTGCTTCAACTCCTGGGGCGGCCGTGCGGCTTACATTGTCATGAAGCGGAGCACCAGCAGGTTCATGCTGGCGGCGAGCACAGCCAGGCCGAACAGGATGAAAATGAGCGCCATCGCCACGTAGCCCGGCTTCTCGGAAAGCGCATGGTCCTTCTGCGCTCGGGTCAGATGGCAAGGGTCAGACGGTCAAGGTCAGGCGGTCAAGAGCAGACGGTCAGGGGACAGGCACCCGAACTCGGACGGCCAAGGTCAGACGGTCAAGATCAGACGGTCAAGGTCAGACGGTCAGGGGACAAGCGCCCCAACTCAGACGGCCAAGGTCAGACGGTCAAGAGCAGACGGTCAAGGTCAGACGGTCAAGGGACAGGCTCCCCAACTCAGACGGCCAAGGTAGACGGTCAAGGTCAGACGGTCAGGGGACAGGCGCCCGAACTCAGACGGCCAAGGTCAGACGGTCAAGATCAGACGGTCAAGGTCAGGCGGTCAAGGGACGGGCGCCCGAACTCAGACGGCCAAGGTCAGACGGTCAAGATCAGACGGTCAAGGTCAGGCGGTCAAGGCGGTCAGATGGGCAAATAAAAGCGCGTAGCAGCCAGTCTGCTGAGTGTAAGTGTCGGTGGATTAAACGTAAATGTAGTTGAATGTCGGTGGATTAAATTTAGAAAGGATGAGGTCAGGCGGTTCTAGGAAAATGCAACGTGCCAGATGTTTAAGGGTGAGGCGGGGAAAGATCAGTTGTACCCAAGTCCGGTATGTGTGTTTTGATCTATTTGCGCGCAAATACTTTAAACACCAACGCCTCTACATTTTCACATGGACTATTATTGCCTCTTACTATGCTTTGCCTACGGAGATCATGCAAGACCTACCCTCCCCCCCCCCCCCAGAATAATAATGAAAAATACAATGGCCGACAAGTTGGTGGCCGTTTCGACATTGCCCACACCAACGAACACCGGGGAAAGCAGGGTCAACATCACCAGGGGCTTGCTTTTCATCACTATCTCGCTACACCTAACGCTACTTGCATACGCCATCCCCCAGGCTCAGACACCAAGCAGATTTGTCCTCCCACCTGCAGCGCAACGTAGTCTCCGAAGCCGATGGTAGTGAGCGTGATGAAGCAGTAGTAGAAGGACTCGAAGTAGCTCCACCTCTCGTAGTGCGAGAACATGGCCGCCCCAGACGTAGTAATAATGGTAGAGAGAAAGAAGGTGGCCACCATCAGGTCAATCTCAGATATCTGCGGGCGACAGAGGAAAGCTGAGAAAGAAGGTGGCCACCATCAGGTCAATCTCAAATATCTGCGGGCGACAGATCAAAGCCGTTGTGAAGACCGTCCCCTGATCCGTCTTGAAGCCATGTAATGGGGGAAATGCTCAGATACCTGCGGGCGACAGATCAAAGCCGTTGTGAAGACTGTCCCCTGATCCGTCTTGAAGCCATGTAATGGGGGAAATGCTCAGATATCTGCGGGCGACAGATCAAAGCCGTTGTGAAGACTGTCCCCTGATCCGTCTTGAAGCCATGTAATGGGGGAAATGCTCAGATATCTGCGGGCGACAGATCAAAGCTGTTGTGAAGACTGTCCCCTGAGCCGTCTTGAAGCCATGTAATGGGGGAAATGCTCAGATATCTGCGGGCGACAGATCAAAGCTGTTGTGAAGACCGTCCCCTGAGCCGTCTTGAAGCCATGTAATGGGGGAAATGCTCAGATATCTGCGGGCGACAGATCAAAGCCGTTGTGAAGACCGTCCCCTGAGCCGTCTTGAAGCCATGTAATGGGGGAAATGCTCAGATATCTGCGGGCGACAGATCAAAGCCGTTGTGAAGACCGTCCCCTGAGCCGTCTTGAAGCCATGTAATGGGGGAAATGCTCAGATATCTGCGGGCGACAGATCAAAGCCGTTGTGAAGACCGTCCCCTGAGCCGTCTTGAAGCCATGTAATGGGGGAAATGCTCAGATATCTGCGGGCGACAGATCAAAGCCGTTGTGAAGACCGTCCCCTGAGCCGTCTTGAAGCCATGTAATGGGGGAAATGCTCAGATATCTGCGGGCGACAGATCAAAGCCGTTGTGAAGACTGTCCCCTGATCCGTCTTGAAGCCATGTAATGGGGGAAATGCTCAGATATCTGCGGGCGACAGATCAAAGCCGTTGTGAAGACCGTCCCCTGAGCCGTCTTGAAGCCATGTAATGGGGGAAATGCTCAGATATCTGCGGGCGACAGATCAAAGCTGTTGTGAAGACTGTCCCCTGAGCCGTCTTGAAGCCATGTAATGAAGGAAGTGAAGACGGGCAGCCTCGACCATCATGATGCGTTGCAAACGTGGAATTGCGTTACGACACATGCATACATAATTTCTGACAATATGCTGCATAAGCGACGCATACGTTGAATACAGCAAACGCCCTCGCCACACCGCTAGAACTATTGCATCGCAAACATAGTTCTGTATTGCAATGTGTGAGCCAGTTTGAATACCTGTCAAGTGCTCTTAATGCGCTTGCACGGGATGTTTCATTTACTGAGAGAGCTATTATCTGGAATCAACAAGCAAAAACAACATATGCGCTACCTCGGGATTTTTTCGCCGGAATAGAATTTTCAGCTTCTTGATGATGATGGACGCTCCCTTGTTGAGTCTCTCGCCGATGTGCTGGAACATGACGAGGCCCATGGGGATGCCGATGATGGCGTACAGGATGACAAAAGCCTTCCCGCCGACTGTGGCCGGCGTGCTGTGCCCGTACCCTGTCGGTATCGCCAGGGATGTTAAACTTTTCACGAGCTGGTCACCATCGTTACAGTAAGTCGGCACACTCAACGAGTAACGTGTGATGGGGAAATCCTAGGGCTGGGTCAATCTAGTGTCTGGCATTCAAGTCGTTGTTTTACGACTGTGCTGCCCGCAGGCTTTTCTGAAGGTCAAAGAATAGCCGCAGAGAGATTCATTTCAACAAACACACGTACGCCAACACGCATTATTCCTTATTGAATCCGCATTTGTGCATCGTTTGAAGGATGCCATGGGCACCAGTAACGCGGATCCAGAAGTCAGACCGCAAACCAACGCACGCGGCACTGCGTGAATATGAAGAACAATCCACGCACCAACGAGCGGAACGAGACCGACCTATCATGACCAACACCACCGTTGCGAAGTAGAACGCGCCGATGAACTTCCACTGGGGTCCCGCTTTGTGAGGCTCCATCTTGATAATGGTCGTCTCCAGCACTCTGTAGTCTTCGTCAGTGATGCCATATCTGCGCTTCATGTTCTCCTCCATGTCTGAAAAGGCAGAGCAGTGTGAAGCAGCTTGCGGTTGCCACGGATGGTTATTTTCTGTGTCACTATCTGCAGTAAGCTCCTCTTGCTCGTGAAACTACGGCTGTAGGCACGTGAGGTTGATATCGACAATGTGAACAACATTGAAAGTTCACCATTGGCCTGTAGACGGCCTTTGTTATAAATATAAACTGAAGACATTTGATCGCAAGTTTTGCATGTGACTGCTCTGCATGCATAATAACATGACGTATATATCGATGGTGATGTGACAATAACCTATCTGACCACTGCGACCGATACCACGTGCAGCTGAGACACGAATCTATTGTGCAGTGCGAGCAGTCACGGATGTAAGGCAGTCGCAGCCATGGCGCTGGCCCTATTAGGCACAGCAAGTGCCCAAGTGCGCGGACGCGTGACACATTCCTCCAGTGTTTGGCGCCGCAGCTGAGCTTGTGAGCTCACCCCCGAGCACGTGCTGGTGCTTCTCGTCCATCTCCGACTCGAGCGCGTCGAATACCGCAGCTCCGATCAGCAGGAAGGTGAAGGTGAACACCACCAGCGAGAGGGTTCTCACGTTCTGATGGCTCCTCATGGTGACCTCACATCTGGAGGCGCAGACCACGTGGAGGTTACTCTTCACCTTCACCACCTTCACCATCGTCGTCAGTTAGTCCTCGGGTCCCGTGATGTGGTGGGCCCCCCGTGACCCCATGACCGTGGGTCACCTCAGACCACGTGAGGGTTAAACACTACTATGGAGGCGGTCCCCGGGGTCTAATGACTTCTCGTGATCATTGTGAGCCGGCATTGGCTGGGCACAGCCTCCTCATCGTGATTTCACGTCAGTGGTGTACATTCTGACTTACGAAAGTGAGACTCAAGCACCACTAGGAGGATGATTCTGACGCTGCACGGTCTCTGTCTTCGTTATTAGGTTAGAGGTGAGTGCATTGTCTTCCTCAAGGACGCATTTATTCGCTGCTTTTGCTGAGGTTTAGGAATTATTGTTTACTACAGCGAACTATTGGGAGGCCGCGACAAACAGCTAGAGCGGGGGGGGGGGGGGGCAGAGTTCCCACAAACAGAACAAATTCGCGCGTTGCGGCACAAACCTCTTTCTCAACTGGACCACGCGGTGCAAGTCAAACTAGCCAGAGAGAATACGAGTGCGATGTGGCACAGCACACTTCTTTCAAACATGAACACATCAGGGTTTTCTCACATGGTTTAAACTTAAAAGCTCCGGTAGCAGACAAGGACCGCACACAAAATTTGATCTCTGCTCTTGGGGTCTGTTCGACCTGCACTAGCATGTTTCCTTTTTATCGAGAAGGACGTGATAGGTGTTGGTGGCGCTGGCTTTCTGGACAAATAAAAATGCATGGTTTTAACCTTTAAGCATACGCGTTATGCCTGATAAGTCGCCCCAAAACATTGCCTCAGCTCTGATGGTATACACACGACCAAATTTCCTGCATAGCCGACAACGTTCTGCATTTGCATAGCACTCATTCATCACAAAAACGCTTTCCAAGCCCTTCAAACAGTACATCACCCCATCCTGGTGAGCTCCCACACCTCTCACCAGACCGCTAGCCGTCGGCGCCTCACCTGGGCCGGCTGGGATGAACTCGTCGCCAGCGTCGCTGTGCCCCCCGCGCTGCGTGTGGCTGGCAGCACCTGGGCCGTGTCGACGCCGTCGCCCGTCACGCAGCCGCCGGCGGCATCGATCGACGGCCGTCGGAGCCGACGGGCACGCGCCGGCGCCGACGCGGAGCACGAACCGCCCACGGGCCGGGCAGAAGGGGCAGGGCGGGGCGATGCCGCGCGCCAGGAGGGGGGGGGGGGGGGGATCTGCGGTCCTCTGGTCACGGCGCGGCCAGAGGGCTTTCTGGCGATGCCTCTTGGATTTTATAGCGACTAGAGCATGTGGGTGGACAATTGTCGTTTATAATTCGGCAGGCATCGCCTTACTGACGGCGAGATGCCACGCAAGCAGTTCGTTTGCACACATTTTGTAGGCGTCCTGATGTCGTGCGGTTTGACGATTCTTGAAATCTGCACATTAGTCACCACTTGAGCAATTCTTAAATATTCCGAGCCATGTTGAGTGCCCATTTACGCACATAGTCCCTTGCGATATGTCCATAAGTCAATCCTTTCACCATAGGCATCGTTACGGTTTCAATGCAACGCACAGCGGTTGTATCTGACAAAGGTTTTTCACGAATTGGTGGGGATCACAGGACTCAAGACGTACAAAAGGAATAACTACGATGCAGTGGCCCTATTTAGCAGGAGGTACGATCAAGGTACCTTACACCAGTGCATGACCCAGAATGCCAAGACACGGCGGACTACTCGGGACATTTGATTGGCCGAAACACCTACGAAACTATGCTTTCTGGTTTATAGTCTGCAACAATAACAGAACAGCGTCGAATCTGTGAACACGAACGTATTTGATATGCCGCCCCATAAAAACCCACGATAAATTCGATTTCATTCTCTCCCTGCCATGCGCCATAGCATCATCTCTCGTGAGACAGCCCCGGTTAAGTTTATTGTTTGTTGATTGGAGTTTTAGGGCGCGTCGACTACTGTGGTCATTTTGCGCCCATAACAACTAAATGACTACCTACGGCGGTAAATGACTAAAAAAAATATATTATTCAGAAATGAAAACGGATGGGTTGAGTTGAGTTTAAGGAAATGAGTAAGTGAAAGAGGCAGTGAATGACGCACCTGCAGCTTTGGGGCCTCGCACAACAGTCAGGATTTTCTCGTAATTTGGCAGCCATTCTCGATCTGGAAGCAAATGTACGAATCGACGCATGCCGTGATGTTTGCCGCAGATTTGGTTTAGAGCAAGTCGATCTTTGTTTTCTATTCTCTCCGTAGGTGACGCTAGTGTACGCGAGCGCATGGATGTTTCATCGTGGAGATGCTACCGCCTCTCGCGGTGGCTTTCGAAACTTTGTACAATACTATGCTTGGTAACCGGATCATACCGGTAACGTTTTGAACAAGCTTTGAGAAGTGTATGCTCTGGCGCGAAGGATTGGTATCATCCCGTGGAGGGGGAAGTTTCAATTTTGTCTCTTGTTTCCGCGTGAAGGTTCTAGCTTGCTGTGCACTTAACTGTGTCGAAGAATCCAGGCTGCTTCTACGCCCGTCTTTGAGGCTGTTCGAAGTGCTGCATATTAATTGAACGTCAAGGTCCTCCCGCAACAATGACGTAAGTTGCTGTTACTTTCCAATGGGTTTTCCGTTGTTTTAGCTAGATCAGACAGTTTTGTGTTATAGAAAGGTTAGTTGTATTTTTTAAGTGGTGACCAGTTCACAACAAATCTGTATGTTGACTGAGATGTCTGTACAATGTCTGTGTATTGAACTTCATGCTTCTGTGCTCCAAATGAGGGCTAGACCAAATCACTCAGAATTGTTGGGCGATTTTTGTATGGAGAAATCTTTGAAGTATCTCTCCAGCCTGCAACCTGTTAAGCATTATAATTCCGTGAAACATTGTCTCCATGCGCTGACATTGGTGGTGACCGTGCCAAACATTAAATGTTCAGATTTAAAGAGTACACATGGTGAAGTAGCGGTCGTGATTTTGCTCTGAAAAAAAACATTTAGGGTAACATGCTTATCCAGAATAAAATGTGCACTGGCTACAATGACACTTAGGGATGAAATGTGTAATAGGCTTTCTACTGTGGCAGCATTCACAGCAGTATGGATAAACCCTTAAAACACTTTGTATATATCCAGGTCAGCATAGGACTATCAACATGTAACCCACCCTATGTCTTACAGTGCACCAAAGCCCAGGTCAGAGATGAACCCTGAGGAGCTGGCCAAGATGGAAGAGGAAGAGTTCAACACAGGCCCATTGTCTGTGCTGACCCAGTCAGTTAAGAACAACACCCAGGTACTCATCAATTGTCGCAACAACAAGAAACTGCTGGCCCGTGTCAAAGCCTTTGATCGGCACTGCAACATGGTCCTGGAGAATGTGAAAGAGATGTGGACGGAGCTGCCAAAAACGGGCAAAGGCAAGAAAAAGGTAAGCAGATGACCTTTCTCCATGCAGTGCTAGGTACATGGACATGCAGAAAGACATGTTATACTTACTGAAAATGCTTGGTGACATAGTTTCAAAGAAGTGTAAGCTGATTGATAGAATGTATATATATATATATATATATATATATATATATATATATATATATATATATATATAAGATGATATACAATATTAATAGATATGAGAAGATAGATAAGATGATAAATAAGATGAGAAGTGATGGGTAGACTGATTTTGATGACATTTCTAGTCATTGACGCAGAAATCTTGTCGACTTTAATGGCCGCACTGGACCCAGATGCATTGTACACATTGTGATATTTCATGGTGTCGGGATCCACAGTCCTGGTTTGCCCTTCATCCCTCGCCGCGGGTTCAGCCTACATCATTAGTCGTGCCTCGTGCGAGGGCCTGGTACAGGTCCGTGCAGTGTCTGACCCCGCTCCTTCCTCAGGCCAAGCCGGTGAACAAGGACCGGTACATTTCGAAGCTGTTCTTGCGCGGCGACTCGGTGATTCTGGTGCTGCGCAACCCGCTGGCCACAGCGCAGGGCAAATAGCGACTGGCCAGCCGACTGACCCATCCCTCTCACGGCAGGAGCTGCCCGCATCGCCATCGCAGTGTATCGCCTCGCGTTTGTATCAATACATGTCCGACTGACTGGAGACTTTGTGAGGTTGACGAGGCAACGGGTTGTGTCGCTTTTCGGACTGTTGGGAGGGGCGCTGTCCGGCAGTCTCGCATAGACGTGAATGAGCGCCGCAATGTCCGGCACTAGGTGTCGGCGCTAAGTAAGTTGTTCATCGGAGAGGCTACCAGAACTGCATTCACGCTCTGATTTGCGGCTGCTGATTCATTGTACGCCGGCGGATCTGGTCTGTGGCGACCGCCATTATTCTTGGCTTGCGTAATACGCAGCTCGGATGCACCCCCCTCCCCCCTCGGGGTAGCCAACGCTCCAACCTAACAGCCCAAGCAGTTTGCCTACAATGTGGGCTTAAACGCGACTATCCAGCCAAAGTGAACCACAAAGAAAAGTACTGGAAATATCCAGGCACCGATCCAGTGCACGGGCGAGAGTGCACCGAATTACGGCAATTGTGTCGCGAACGAAATCGCCCCAGCCCACATCTGTGCTCAGCTCCGTAACAGGAGGCGCCGCGCCATCGCGCTGAGCCGTCGCCTAGCCTCCGGCTCGAGGTAACCGCCTTCAGTTGGCGAGTACAGAGCGTCGCTCCATGCCACACGGCAGGCCCGCCCAGCCCTGGGACACCACCGCAGTCTGCCAGCGGCGTCCACCACAATGTGCTCGCGCTCTAGCGGTCTGGCGTCCGTGTTTCCAGCTCGGCCTACCTCCACGTCGGCCCTGCCACCTCCCCACCTCCTCACGCACACAGCACAGACGCGCGGCCAGAACAGAACAGTGTATTGAGGTGAGACGAGCGCGGCGCGGTCGGCAGTCAGCCCGCTCAGTCGTTCTGGGCGATGGTCGTCAGGTGCGCGTCGATCTCTGCCTCTGTCAGCGTCCTGCGGATCAACGACGCACGCTGTCAGCCGCGCAGCCACACCCCCACCCACCCATCCCCAACGGCAACCGGTGGGGGTGTTAAGCGCGGTGCGTAACAGGGGGCACGTGTGCCATTTGTGGCCTGCACATTGACTGCAATATGCTTTTGAATGAATTCTGAGTTTGTTGTTCAGTTGGTTGTGTCAGTTAAATTATTCACCTGGTTTTGGAAAACGGGTTTGTGCTTCCAGCAATAACGACTGTCATACCGTACCATCCACAGCACCAGCACTGCGAGCATGTAAAGAGACGAAATTCGTTTCGTCCCCCCAGTCTCCGGCGGTGCGCGGGGGGCCGCCGCTCGGCGCGCGCCACACTCACCTGAACTCGGGCTGATCTTTGGAGACGACGGCTACCTCGATCTCCGTGGGCTTGAAGTCGGCCGACAGCACGGACGAGAGCGCCGTGATAGCCAGCTGCGGCACCGGACATCACCTTCAGTGGTGTCCTAACCCAACCCAACCACAACCAGACAGTGCACCGACGACAGAGCTGACAATGTGCGCTTCCCTGCACATACCACTGTGAACGCTTTGAACCTGGCACGTTTAGCAGCGTTAAAACGCATTCCAAGTACGTCTCGTGACCAGAGCATGGCGCCAGTTTGCAGCGATTACCTCACATAACTTGATTGCTAAAGACCAATGAACAATGTTGAGCGTCAGGAATGGTGAGCAATACATTTTACAACTTGCGTCCAACCACGGACCGCCACGCTGGCAACGTAAACCTCAAAGGTGAGCCCAGCGGCCCGAGCTGCTTACATGAATGGCCTCTGTGTGGTCAAAGTCCGTCTTCTTCTTGAGCTTCTTCTCGAGGAAGGCGTTGGCCTCGGTCTGCTTGACGCCGACACTGCAGGCGCGGAAGCCGCAGAAGTAGCCGGCCGGGTCCGCCTTGTACACGCACGGTCCCAGCTCGTCGTCGTAGGCGATCAGCGTCATGCCTGTCACACGCGGCACCGGCGGGCGGTCAGACGGCGCAGTGCAGCGTCACACACAGGTCAGCTGCGGCAGCAGACCAACTGGAGACCCATGGTAGGCGCCGCGTGACGTCAGTCAGGATTCAGCTTGGGCCGAGCTGAACAGCGCGATGGCTTGCTCTGCACTAATTCGGATGGGCCAAGATTGATTTGTGTCGATGCATCTGCACTGAGAAATCAGTTGTACCAGTCGACGCCTTCTGTTCGATGAGGCAGCTGGCTCCTCGCAACCCTCCAGTCCGTGCCCGCACCAGCCGGCCCCGTCATCCGACAAGTCAGCCGGCTGCCTCACTGAGCTACAACCGGAGCAGCTCAGTCAGCTTCACAGCCTCATCACCGAATCGCCGTCACCAGCCGCGGCGGCAGTGACCGGCGGCGACCGACAGTGACTGGCGGTGACCGCCAGTGACCGGCGGTGACCGGCGGTGACCGCCAGTGACCGGCGGCGACCGCCAGTGACCGGCGGTGACCGACAGTGACCGACGGTGACCGACAGTGACCGGCGGTGACCGACAGTGACGGGCGGTGACCGAGCGGCCGGCGGCGCCCGGCCCGGGAGCGGCACTCACAGCAGCCCAGCGGGCGTAGCTCGGCGTTCTGTGTGTACACCTGCGATATGTCGGCCATGCGCTTGCAGAGCATGTCCACGGGGATGTCGTGGCCGTACTTGTAGCGCCAGTTGGCCGCCTCGATGCGCGCCCGCTGCACCTGTCCAACAGCGCGCCCGCACGGTGACGCACCAGCGATGCCTCGGGGGTGGGGACAGTCGGGGGAGGGGCAGACGCACGATACAGGCTTACAGAGCCGTAGGCCGTACGATCGAAGAGAAGCACGCGCTGGTTCGAATGTGGTAAGAACTGATCGCGCTACTGAAATAAAGGAGCTTGAATGGAAACCACGCATTCCAGCTAAGAACATCCATGGATGCAAAAAGGAACCTGAGCAAGTAAAGCTACTAACTTATCAGAAACGACGGTGAGCGCAATAGCCACACACGTTCAGTATCGTTCAAAATTAACCTCTGTGCACGCTATATTAAACGAGCAGCAGAAGCATACATACCATGGCCCTTGAGTCGGCTGTCATTCCGGTCATCACACAGCCGACGTGCTTGGTAATCTTGAACATGTGCGTGATGGTAGAGGCATCGAACAGCTTGTCCTAAGGCAGCAGGATGCCCTCGTTTGCACCCGGACACATTTATACTAAACAACAGTACTCCATACAAACGTTTAAACGTCAGTACAGCCCTCCCCCGCGGGGAACGCTCGTAACAATACTGACCTCAGCAGCTCAGCAGCAAATAGTGGACACCCAGCGTGCCGCCAACATCATCGGAACGCTCACAAGGGGTTACAACGCGACTGCAAGCGTTCGTATATCGTGTACATCGTGGAATCACTCGACATTTGAGAAGGCGTTCAGGTGGCAGCTTTAGTGTGCAGCCATCAGCGCATAGTGTAATCACTTCTTTGCCGCAAGGTCGCAGCAAAATTAATCATATCATCTATCCAACACACGAAAAACGCAATGATACCGAGCTATGGCACGAGGTAACGGCCTTCCATTTACCGGGACCTTCTTCTGTGTGACAGCAACGGCGGTGTCTTCTCCCTTGAGGGCTATGGAAGTGAGGCCTCCCTGGTTGACAGCCTTGAAGGCATACTCTGAAAAGATGGTGAACGTCATGATGCAATCACGACCTCCCACAGCACTACACACTACATGTTATAGTACTATCACATCCCATGATCATCGTCATTAAACACGCCCTGGTGGCTTGGTGGAAGACAGGCAGCCAAGGAAATGATGGCTGATCATTTACCCTTGACACGCCTTATCTGGTGTGGAATTAGTTAGGCTAGGTAGTTGGAAGTGAGTGTGATCATGCAGATGATAATGGAACCTCAGCAAATGGAGCTGGACGTCTTTTTCACAAGTACATTATTGAACGCCATCCAAGCCAACACTACGGTTGCATGCCACGAAATCGTCCACGTAGGACCAAGTTACATTTCAGACCACGGTGATCAGCCTGTCGGAAAGCCACATGTTGAATGGTAATTGTTCACAGGGAGCTGCGCTACCCGTCTGCGCCACTTTCTTGGTACAGATTGCCCCGTGTGACGTCAGCGTGGTGCATTCTAGCCCAGCATCCGAAATCGCGACACTGGCCGACTCCAGGTCGGCACCTGGCGTATTCATCGATCAAACACTGTTGGCAACGACAGGTGCTTTGTGGACAGCACTTTCGCCTGCGCGGTGCCGTTGGCTTCGCGTTTTGGTATCCTCTGATTGCCAAGACGCGACGTCAATGGCTCGTAACTCCCCAAAAGCGGCAAACTCGCGGTATGTTTTCAAGCGAGAATCGAATGTTGTGCACAATGATTTCCACTTATGCCAGTAATACCGCCCCCATTCTTTACTCCATCAAGTGGCCTTATCCCATGCTTCTACAACCTCGGGTCCTAGAGATCCGAAACTAGTGTTGCAGTAACACCATAATTTTTTGCTTTTAATCAGGAAATTTAACCCTTTGATGCGAAGTTAAGTGAAAGGTAAGACTTTGTTCACACTGCAAGTGTGCAGAAAATCCCACCTAATCAAATGGCTTTCATCACAATATTTCAACTGAATATGGCACAAAAGTATTTTTCATCATGCCTGACATGTCACAGACCTTCAATCAGTGGTTGCTGTGATGTAAGCTCCCAAACCCCCATCACCTGGGTTGGGCTAGGCCACTTAAGTACAAAGTTTTTCACCCCTCAAGTACGACCTTTTTGCCTTGGGGCTTGTGTGGCTCACAATAAAGATCACAGCAAAACTGGTTAATACAATGAAATTAGCACTGCCATCCCAGGTGGAAGCCAGGATCATGGCAGATGGTAGACAAGTTGGAATAGAGACCCCTTATCCAACTTGTCACCTTACCTTACTGTTACCTTAGTACAGTACCGTTATTCGCCCATTAGGAAAGAATGGCACTCACCTACTTGGTAGAGCCTACCCTCAGGAGAAAATATAGTAATGTGGCGATCAAATCCTGCGCTGCTTCCGCGAGACATGCTTCCTTATCCACAGAGCCTGAAAAATGTCCCAAGTGATGTGAATTGGCACTCATGGAAACAGATTGAAATGCCTTAAAAGATGACACACTGCAAATGTAATATATAAGCTGACATGACTCAGATAAACTGCATTAGCAAACATTGCATAAGCAAAACACTACATAAACAAACATACCCATTCACTCCCACCATTAGCCCATAAGCAAAACAAGAACTGCTTGTCTCACAGAATATGACCAATGGAGCATTCATTAAACTGGTGGCTGAATTCACATGATGTCAGTGATAATGAGGATCTGTATGCAGTTCTGAAGGCTACAATTGATGCACTACACACCAAAGCATACAGATGCTGAGATAATTCTCAACCAGGCAAAATCTATGTCAGACAGAGCCATTTCACAAAGGGGAATGGTGGCGGTGTACATGAGTACTTAATCTTACATTAGATGTATACTGCTGATATGACTACTCTGTCAACCAAAACATTAGTTCATCAGAAAACAGCAAAATTGTACAATTTTTGTTCAATATGACAGAACTATTAAGACATAAGGACATTAAGATACCTGGCTCACAAGGGCCACAAGAGCCTATTAAGGTTGGCCTCCCTTAGGTTCCATATACATCCTCAAAACTTATCACCTGACCAACAAGCATAAATTTTGTTGTAAATGAGTTCTTTAGACCAACAGAGTTTGTCCAAACACTTTTTGAATGTTTCTAGAAATGGACTTCATTCAACATCAATTGTCAGCCCATTACAATCATGCACCACTCTTTGGCTAAATGACATCTGCCTGTTCATAGCTTGATCCCTGCCATTTGCTAAATTAAACTTGTTTTCCTCCATTTCTCAGCCTTACTTCCAGTTCTACATGTCAATCTGCAGTGTCTATCCCATTCATAATCTTGTGTGCCTCTATCAGATTCCCTCTAAGCCAGTGACATTTCAGAGATCACAAATTCAAGGCCCTAAGCCTATCCTTATATATTATGTTACCAATTCCATCCATCATCCTACTTGCTTCTTGCTGTACCCTTGCCAATCTATCTATATATTTTGGAAACATGGCAATTATGATCTTACACCAACAACATTTTATGCATTGGCTTAACAATACTGATGCACCAAGATCACAGAGCACCTAATGTTACTGGTCACTGATTTTGTAACAAAGAGGTCAAATGTACTTCCTATTTATTGTGTAAGCATTTAGACCAGATATCTTAATACAATGAGGGTGCAATTCTTACCCTGTGTTCTTATCCCAAAATCCCAAACTACACATGCAGTGGGGACTGGGGCGCCAAACTCCTTCCCTGTATATTTATAGTCCCCCAAAATATCCCCAGATTTAATTCCAGAACTTCTGTTGCCACATTCATGCATGAATAGGTGACCAGGAGTGCTTCCTCTACCATATCAGACCATACTATACTTCAGTATAATTGATTCAAAGGTGGGAACTGCTTTATTAAGCTATTCAACATACTTTCAGCTGGTGTTTAATTTTCCACAAGTGCTTTGGTTCAACGTGCACATTCCCTACCTGCATTAAAAAAACATCCTGACAACATCCACATACAGCAGCACACACACCAGTTGCTAATATAATTGACAACATCCACATACAGCAGCACACACACCAGTTGCTAATGTAACCATTTTGCAACATTGTGGGGAAAGCACCATTGTGTTTAAAATGAATAACAGCATTAGCATTGTTAGCATAATTATGGGTTCTATTCAAGGTAATGCTATCAAACTAGGCCTTGTAGGCCAGAGTAAACAAAATAAATGTGACACAAAACACATCTGGCACAGCAGTGGCACACAGTAATGATTTCAATGCACATATATTCCAATTAAAGTGCTCAAAATCTGGGACAGCCAGCACCAGCACAGCACATAGACATCACAGGTGCCAATATATCAAGGTGATGTATCAATGTATAGTATGTATGTAAGCTATCAATGCAATGTATCAATGTTGGGTCACTGGGATAACTAAAGGCAAAAACACTCCATAAATATTTTTCAACCAGAAGTATGTGAAAATTTAGTGCAATGTGGCTTGCCCTGAGGTTGGAACACACAAATGTGTGATTCAACACATTGTCATACAGGCGTTCAGCTCAGTTTATGTTTTTGCAGACTAGTTCAGCAACACTAACACAAACACACACTAAGATTCTGATGTAGATTTAAACACACTGAATGATCCCAACCATGCCAAGAAATCATCTGTGTAAAGGCCAAATATATCACATTCAAATTGACAGTGATGAGAAACATTCCTGCGCCCAACATGCAAGCTTTCCGCACATTACGTCTCCTCTGTGGTGAGGACGAGTAGTTTAAAAAAGGAATCGACACTTGCCAAGCGTATACAACCCAAACCAATCTCCTTCCCCGCCGTTTCACTTACCTACAAAGATCAGAGATGAAAATGCCGGCGCACGCACCCAGTCACATCTAGTACAGTTTACAGCAAGGTTTACAGGCCACCTGCGCCACAATGACTGAGCAAAACTCTACGAAGGAAATTTTCCGATTGCTGCCATGTTCAGATTATGTTCAGAAAAGTCCAAATAGCAATCATCTCTTGTCGATTGTTTCCTTAAAGCTTTTTAAAAATTGGAGTCTTTTATGTAATTAAAAAATAAAAAGTGCCATTCAAAGTTTTTTTAAAAAAACTTTTATTATTCATTCTTTATTGTTAGGCACGGCATGAAATAATTTTCAGATTTGGAGACAATAACTGCTTTCGTATGTGGCTCACTAAAGACGCGCATTGACGCCGGCGCATTTAGTTAAATAAGGCTATTCTAGTTATAAGCGGTTGAACGTATGTTGTCTGCGCTCTGGTAACGTACATTGGCAGGTGGGCATGAGTAGATTTAAAACGGATTTTGTGCGGTAATTTTTTACTTTGGTACCTGTATGGCCGACGGAGGGAAGAGCTACGGTAGCTGCAGGGTTTCGAGTATTGTCGTCCGGGGGAAAAGCTGTGAGGCATCGGCTGACATTGTGACGTCACTGAAAATGGTTTTGCATCGATCGGGATGGGGGTCCTTTCGGGCCGACTGAAGGCCATAAGGCTTTTGAATGTGACATGATGTCACTGGTATTCGGCTGGGTATTTGACGTCACGGGTCGTGAGTTTGTAAGGCTCTTTTGGGTCCACCGAATGCCGTAATGCATCAGCTGGCCATGTGTCGTCACTGGTATTCGATTAAACATCAGGCGCGACCGGCCTCGTTCCATCTTTACTTTTCGTACCTGACTGCTGCAAGCATTTGCGTGCCGCATAAAGGTTTGACCGAATCACCTCAATGTGTGACGTCCCTAATCATCACTTCATACGGGTGCACTTAGGCCCCACGACCACGGTGTGTCATGGTCTACGAAGTATCACCGGATAGCGTGACGTCACTGGTATTCGAATAAATACTGAGCGCAACAGGCCGTGCTTTATTTTTACCTTTGTATCTGACTACTGCAAGCATTGGCGTGCTGGATGAAAGCTGCCCAACCACCTGAGTGTGTGACGTCACTGGTCACGAGTTTCACCGGTGCTTTTCGGCCAACTGAAGACCACAAGGTGTCAGCTAACGACGTCACTGCTATACGACCGATTGTAAGACGTCAATGGTCGTGGGTTTCCACGTGTCCTCTAGGACCGACGAAATGCCGTAAGGCATCAGCTGGCGATATGACGTCACTGGTATTTGGCTGAACATCAGCCAACAGGTCATGCTCCATTTATACCTTTCGTACATGTCTGCTGCGAGTATTGGCGGATTTTTTGCGGCCAACTGAAGGCCATAAAGCATCAGCTAGCGATGTGACGTCACTGGCATTCGACCGTGCGTGTCGCTGGTCATGAGATTTTACGGCCTCTTTTGGGCCGACGAAAGGTCATACGGCACTGACTGACGATGTGACGTCACTGGTATTCGAATGAACTTCGGGCGCGACAGGCCATGTTCCACCTTTATCTTTGGTACCTGTCCATTGCAAGCATTGCCGTGGAAGGCTCTGCCAAATTACCTGAGTGTGTACGTCACTGACCATTAATTTGTATACTCTTCTGAACCTACTATAGGCCACAAGGCATCAGCTGACGATATGATGACACTAGGTCTCGACTAGACATCATGCGCAACAGGCCATGCTCTATCTAAGCCATGTTTCGTCTGTACCTTTCGCACCTATCTACTGCAAGTATTCGCGCGACACATAGGGGCTCTGCCGAATTACCTGAGCGTGTGGTGTAACTAGTCATGAGTTTACGCGGGTTTACTCTGGCTGACCGAAGGGCATCAAGCATCAGCTGACGATATGACGTCACTGGTATTCGACTATACTCCAGGCGCGACAGGCCATGTTCCATCTTTACCTTTCGTACCTGTCTCTTGGAAGTATTGGCGTGCTGAATGAAGGCTCTGTCGAGTCTCCTGGGTAAGTAACGTCACTGGTCAAGAGCTTTTTACGGGACCTTTTGTACCCCCAAACGGTATAATGTATCAGCTGACGATATGACGTCACTGATGTCCGACTTAACATCAGGCGCGACAGGCCATGTTCTATCTTTACCTTTCGTACCCGTCTATTACAAGTACTGACGTGCTGAATGAAGGCTCTGTCGAGTCTCCTGGGTGTGTAACGTTACTGGTCATGAGTTTTTTCTGGCTCCTTGGAACCCTCTACAGGGAAAAATGCATCAGTTGACGACGTGATGCCAATGGTGTTTGACTTAACATGAGGCGTAACAGGTCATGTTCCATCTTTGCCTTTCGTACCTGTAAAGTATTGGTGCGTTAAATGATGGCTCTGCCGAGTCACTTGAGTGTGCGACGTCACTGGTCATGAATTTTTACGACTATTTTTGGCTGAGCGAAAGCCATAAGGCATCAGCTAACGAAATGACTTCACTGGTAGTCCACTGAGTGTGTGACGTCACTGGTCATGAGCTTTTACGGGCCTTTTTTGGCCGAGTTCAGGCCATTAGGCATCAGATAACGTTATGGCGTCACTTGTATTCGAATTAACATCAATTGCAATAAACCATGTTTCATCTTTACCTTTCGCATCTGCCTACTGCAGGTATTCGTGCGCTACAAAAAGGCTCTGTCGATTCGCCTGAGCGTGTGGTGTAACTGGTCATGAGTTTGTGCAGGTTTACTCGGGCTGACTGAAGGGCATCAAGCATCAGCTGACGATATGACGTCACTGGTAATCGACTAAACTCCAGACAAATCATCTGAGTGGGTGACGTCGCTGGTCATGAGTTTATACGGATTCACTTGGGCCGCCCAAGGCCACAAAGCAACACCTCCCGTGAAGCATCACAGGATGATATGTCGTCACTGTTATTCGACTTAACATCAGGTCCAACATGCCACGTACTTTCTTTACCTTTCGTACCTGTCTATTAAAGGTATTGACGTGCTGAATAAAGGCTCCGTCGAATCTCCTGAGTTTGTGACGTCACTGGTCACGAGTTTTTATGGGCTCTTTTGAACCCATTATAGGTTGTAATGCATCGGCTGACGGCAAGACGTTACTGGTGCTCGACTAAACATCAGGCGCAACAGGTCATGTTCCATATTTGCCTTTCGTACCTGGCTGCTGCAAATATTCGCGTGCTATATGAAGGCTCCGCCGAATCACCTGAGTACGTGACGTCACTGATCATCAGTTGGTAGGAGGTCACTTGGCCACCTATGGCTACGAAATTCCGCAGCAGAGGCGGGAGATGCACCATAGTTAAGCACACTAATTGTATTGTGCGCACCATTAAGTAGCAGCTTCAAACGCAACGGGCTGTTTCAACGACTAAAATTTTGAACAAACGTAAACACAAAACAAAGGTGATCCCAGCCCACAAACCGACGTATATGCAAAGCTATTCCGCCCGACATCACAGGATGCGCCCCTGAGCAGCTACGGTCCGGAATGCCCTGATGGCTAAATAATAATCAAGGGCGCCGCCTAGCGGTCATAAGTCTGGGCCACAGCCCGAATATCAGTGACGTCATATGGTCAGATGATGCTTGATGTCCTTCCGTCAGTCCGAGTAAGCCCGCGTAAACTCATGACCAGTTACACCACATGCTCAGGTGATTCGGCAGAGCCTTTATGTAGCGCGCGAATACTTGCAGTATAGAGGTGCGAAAGCCAAAGATGGAACATGGCCTGTTGCGCCTGAGATTAAGTCAAACACCAGTGACGTCATATCGTCAACTGATGTCTTGTACCCTATAGGTACAAAAAAGCGGCCCATAAAGGACTCATGACCAGTGACATTACACACTCAGGAGATTTCACAGAGCTTTCCTTAAGCATGTCAATGCTTACAATAGACAGGTACGAAAGATAAAGACGAACATGGCCTGTCGCGCCTGGTGTTAAGTTGAATACCAGTGACGTCACATCGCCAGATGATGCTTGATGTCCTTCAGTCAGCCCGAGTAAACCCGCGTAAACTCATAACCAGTCACACCACACGCTCAGGTGATTGGGCAGAGCCTTTATGTGGCGCGCGAATACTTGCAGTAGATAGGTGCTGAAGGTAAAGATGAAACTTGACATATTGTACCTGATGCTTAATTGAATACCAATGACGCCATATCGTTGTCTGATGCCTAATGGCCTTAAGTCGGCCGAAAAAGGCCCGGGAAAACTCATGACCAATGGCGTCACACACTTAGTGGATTACCAGTGACGACACATCGTTAGATGATGCCTTATGGCTTTCACTCGGCCAACAATAGCCTGTAAAAACTCATGACGACGCACTCAGGTGATTCGACAGAGCCATCATTAGGCTCGCCGATACTTTAACAGGTGCGAAAGGCAAAGATGGAACATGACATGTTGTGCCTGATGTTAAGTCGAACACCAGTGACATCATATCGTCAGCTGAAGCATTATACCATGTAGGGGGTTGAAAAGAGCCCGTAAGAGCTCTTGACCATTGACGTCATATAACACGCGAATGCTTGCAGTATGCAGGTACGAAAGGTAAAGATGGAACATGGCCTGTTGCGCTTGATGTTGAGTCGAATACCAGTGACGTCATATCATCCCGCGATGCTTCACAGGATATGATGCTTTGTTGCATTGGGGTGCCCAAGTGAGCCTGTATGAACTCATGACCAGCGACGTCACGCACTCAGATGGTTCGGCACCACCTCGATATAGCGCGCGAATGCTTGCAGTTAACAGGTACGAAAGGCAAAGATAGAGCATGGCCTGTTGCGCATGACATCTAGACGAAAACCGGTGACGTCATATGGTCAGCTGATGTGGTGTGGCTTACGGTAGGTTCAAAGCAGTCTATATAAATTAATGGTTAGTGACGTTACACACTCAGGTAGTTCGGCAGAGCCTTCCTTCAGCATTCAAATGCTTGCAATGGACAGGTACCAAAGGTAAAGATGAAGCATGGCCTGTCCCGCCTGAATTTTATTCGGATACCAGTGACGTCACATCTTCAGTTAATGTCGTATGACCTTTCGTCGGCCCAAAAGAGGCCGTAAAATCTGATCACAAGTGACATCACACACAGTCGAATGCCAGTGACGTCACATCATTAGGTCATGCTTTACGGCTCTCAGTTGGCCCCCAAAGATCCATAAAAATGCATGACCAGTGGCGTCACACACTCACGTGATTTGGTAGCTTTTATTCATCACGCCAGTGCTTGCAGTAGACAGGTACGAAGGTAAAAATGAAGCATGACCTGTTGCGACCAATATTTAGTCGAATATCAGTGACGTCACGATACCTGGTGATATTTCACGGAACATGATACACCGCGGCCGTGGGGCCTAAGTGCACTCGTATCAAGTGATGATTAGTGACGTCACGCATTCAGGTGATTCGGTCAAGCTTTTATTCGACACGCAAATGCTTGCAGCAGACAGGTACGAAAGGTAAAGATGGAATAAGGCCTGTTGCGCCTGATGTTTCATTGAATGCCAGCGACGACATATCGTCAGGTGATGCTTTACGGCATTCATTACACCCAAAAGATCCCTAAAGCCTCACAACCAGTGACGTCACACATCCAGTCGAATACCAGTGACATCATATCGCTAGCAAATGCCTTGTAGCCTTCAGTTGGCCCAAAAGAACCCCGATCGATGGAAACCCATTTTCAGTGACGTCACTACGTCGGCTGATACCTGACAGCATTTCTCCATCACGGCAGTACAGGAACCCTGCAGCCAGCGTAGCTCTCCCCACCGTCGGCAATACAGGTACCCAAGTAAAAAAAAGCCTTTTGTGCATACCCGCTTCTGAGTTGATACACAAATCGCTGCCGCATACCATCTTGGGTATATGGACTGTGGGTCATACGTCACACACATTTTGTGTTTTGTGTTTGTGTCGCCTCGCTTGTTTGACATACCAGCTGTATAGTAACCCACCAGTCAGGCTTGACTGGTATTAAGGGGCGTCAAACGGTAACAAAAGTATATGCATGATCTCATATACAGTACATAAAATGCTCCTATACTGTATTGATGTTTTCATTTGCTGTTAAGCTTCTAAATGTGTTTCCCACAATGCCAATCTACAAAAAATCCTTATGGTGGATGATTATGAAGTATCTGTTTAATGAATGTTGTGCTTGCATGCACCAAGCTTAAAACATGTCAAACACAAATTTTAAAATTATGTTGCTTGATTTTTTTGTTGAGTGTATTTGCCCGAAATTGTCTTTGCAACAACAAAGCTCACAGAAACTTTGTCTGATTGCCCTGAAATTGATCATGATGGTGCTGCAAGCTGTTAATTGCTTATTGCATGGATTTATAGTGCACATGCCCCAGAATTTTCCCATGATGTTGCTGCAACACAGGACATTATTACTATAACATGTATATTAGCTGTCTGGCTGAAATCAAACACTTATTTCTGGGAGCTTCTTCCCTTTTATTGTGCTTGAATGAAATCCTGCACAGTTACATAATCCTTTGCAAAAGTTTATGGGATGAACATGATAATTTGGCCTCCCAGATAGGCACCTTTCTCTCAGCATTGCTGGCATAGCCTGACAAAGCATAGATGGTGAAAGCTTGTGGATTTTATCAATAACTTTTAGCACCTAGTAAGTATAAGCTTCTTCCTGAAATTTTGTACCTGCTGTACATTGTACAACATGCATATATAATATGCAATGTGCACACTTTCAAGAGCATTTGGTGCCCAGGAGTTTGAAACTTAAGCTAAAAATAAAAGCATTCATCTTAGCATAATGGTCTTTAAGTATGAAGACTTTCTGGACCTTGCCCTGTTTTTTCATAAGATTCAAAATTTGTATGCTGGATTTGAGCAATATATATATATATATATATATATATATATATATATATATATATATATATATATAAGGCTATACATATCTATTTTGCATGTTGTTTGAATAGATGGTGGTGCTTGCATTACCACTTTGTTCAAACAGGTAAATATATGTAGAGATTGCACCATGGTGGAAAGCAATGATTTGGTATCACAGAATCAGGCTATACTCAGCATTTCCAGCTGAAAATGTTCATGTGATTTTCTTGACCCTACTTAGTCATACGGACATGTATTCAGCAGCAGTGCTTTGAGTAGTATGTGTATGTTATGAGTAAAATGTTCATTTTAAAGGTCATGTTTTGCATAATGATAATATCTGCAATTATGCCTGCTTATTGTTGATATCATCATTTGCAATATTAATGCCATTGCATTGCAGCTGGATTCTGAAAGCCACATCACAGCCACTGCAGCACCTGCCTGCTCCATCATTGATAGCTGCATACACCACCCACCAGCGCCATGTCGGGGGAGGCGGCCGTCGAGGACGAGGGCACCGTCCAGCTGACGGTTAAGTGGAGTGGCCAGGAGCTGGACGTGCGCCTGCTGGCCACCGACACCGTGGCCGACCTGCGCGACGCACTCTGTCTGCGCACGCGTGTGCTGCCGGCGCGCCAGAAGCTGCTGAACCTGAAGCTGGGCGGGCGGCCGGCGCCCGACTCGGCCGAGCTGGGCGCGCTGGGGCTGCGGCCGGGCGCGCGCATCATGATGATGGGTAGCCCGGAGGAGGCCATCGCCGCCGCCAACGAGGTGCCCGAGGAGGCGGCCGGCGTGCTGGACGACTTCTTCGAGGAGGAGGGCGGCGAGGTGCCCATCCACCTGCGGCCCGAGTACGTGGCCAAGGTGGAGAGGCGCGTGCGCGACTACAAAGTGGAGGTGAAGAACCCGCTGCGGGAGGGCAAGCGGCTGCTGGTCCTGGACATTGACTACACGCTGTTCGATCACCGCAGCGTGGCGGACAGCGGCAGCCAGCTGATGCGACCGTACCTGCACGAGTTCCTGACGTCGGCCTACCGCGACTACGACATTGTCATCTGGTCGGCCACCTCCATGCGGTGGATTGATGAGAAGATGCGGCTGCTGGGCGTCAGCGCGCACCCCGACTACAAGATCGCCTTCCACCTGGACAACTTGGCCATGATCACGGTGCATTCGGAGCACTACGGGGTGACCGAGTGCAAGCCGCTGGCTGTGATCTGGGGTAAGTTTCCGGACACGTCGGCGGCCAACACCATCATGTTCGACGACGTGCGTCACAACTTCCTGATGAACCGGCAGAGCGGGCTGCGCATCCGGCCGTTCCGGCAGGCGCACCAGAACCGCGACAAGGACGTGGAGCTGCTGCTGCTGGCGCGCTACCTGCGCTCGATCGCGCGGCTCGAGGACTTCGGCGCGCTCCGGCACCGCGACTGGGAGCGCTACCTCGAGAGGCACCCGCCACCCGAGGACTGACGAGCGCGCGCCTAGAGGCGAGGCGGCTTGCGCTGGCGCAAGGCGCGCGGCCTCCGCACCGCTGGGCGGGCGTACTGGGTTGAGTGGGAAGTTCACGTGTGTGCGTTCACACCTGCTGCTCGCCTCTGTGCGACTGACGGGGTTGGAACGGAAGGCGAGCGGCACTTTCTTGGCGAGATGTACGCCCTGTGTCTGTGCGGCGGACCGCGGCGTGAAGACAGGCCAGGTGGAACCTCACGCGGTCGAGGAGAAACTTTGCCTGCGAGATTTTCTCTTCCCGGAAAAGCGTGCGTATAGTTTCTGTGCTTTAAAATGCTTCAATCCTTGCGCGACATGTGCGGTATCAACGTCTACGTCGCAGCTGGTGACGTTATATAGATGTGGTGCTGGCGATCGGAATGGCTACCAAAAAAACATTGGAAAATTGGATGGTGACACGTGCTGTCATGTGATTATTCATCAGTTTCCATTTGTTCCTAAATTGAAATGCCGGCCTGACTTTTGGAAAGATAGCGATCCGAAATAATTATATGGCGGATGCGTGCGTTATAGAGTCTCAGTATGCCCAACGGCTGTCTGAACATGTCTGTTCTAATGCTCATCATTCTGTGATTTCGGTGTGCATCGCTTCAGTCACGCACATACGTGCCTGGGATGTGAACATGTCCGCACTGCGCTCTCACTCGAACTCGTCACGTGCCCTGTGTCATAAATGACATCACGTGACCTACAATCGGACGGCCGTCTCGCACGCTACACGATGGTACTTCCAGCTCGCTTGTCGCCCGCGCTCTGCTGCTGCGCCGTCGGGATGTCAGTGGTGGCAGCCGGCTGTGGAGGCGGCGGAGGTGGCCAGCCGCGCACGCGCAGCACGGCTGGGCGCCTGTCAGCACGCCGTGACCTGGCGCGTGCGCGCCGCGGGCCCTGTCCGGCACGGACTCGCGTAGGCCTGGAGCGTGCGTGGCCTGGGCCCTGTCCGGCACGGACGCGCGTGGACCTGGAGCGTGCGCGACGCGGGCCCTGTCCGGCACGGACGCGCGTGGACCTGGAGCCGATCAGGGGCCTCGCGATTCATGCACAACGAGCTGGTAATGTACAGTGTATTGCACTTGCTTTGGTCTGTGTCGCGTGTCTGTGAAGATGCGCACAGCACCTGCAGGTCTGGTGGTTAGACAAGTGGTGGTTGGTGACCTTCATACAGCGGTGGACCTCAGTCGGTTGTGCCCGGGTGTGCATGGTTGGTTGGTTGGCAGCCGGATATCGATCAGGCGGTCGTGGTCGCCATGGTTCTGTGGTCTAGTTGCGCGGTGCCGTCGATGGACAGAGTTATAAAACGGAAGTACATCTTGACGCTAGCTGCATGATGCTAGAATCGCTTTCTCGGGCGTTTTTTTTTTTTTTTGCTTTTGGCTATCAGAGCGGCATTGGGGAGAACGCAGATGGTACCGGACCATTTCATTGTGTTGACCGACATGTGGTTTCGCTACATGTTTTAAGCCCGCTTCAGCTCGCTGTTCGGTCGGAAACGCGCATTCATTTACCGCATGTTATACTGCTGCGCATTATGTTTTTGTACATATGTTTCCAGATTCGACGCGCACGATGCTTTTACAATGGTGCTCATGTTGTAATACAAAGCGTCAGAAGTCTGTTCGTGGGCGGGTAAGACCAGACCAATCCAATTAAGACCAGACCAGACCAGATCAGACCCAATGGGGCTGCTAGATCGTCCCTTCGCTCGTGGCAAAAATACACCCTCTCAACGTGTCTCGCGCGCCCGAGCAGGCTCTGGCACGGCACACATACAATGATGGAAGTAAAATACATTTCGACGGCGCGGTTGATCGCGGTGGCCCACGCTGCAGCGATACTGACTTGAGCGTGGAGTACACGGCAAATTTCGGCTCCGACTTACCCCAGTGTTGCATTGTTGGGGGATTCCGGTTCAGAGAGTGCCCCCCAAATCTAGACCGGATTCAGTGGCGACTGGTCGCTGAATCGTCTTCTCAGGATATCGTGGGTACAGATGTTTACGCGGCGCACACTTATTGAACGAGCTGCCTGCTTCCACCAGCATCCATATCGCCGTGTTTTCGGACCGCCATCGGGCTGCATCAGACAAATGGACCTAAAGGGAACGGCGGTGATCACTGTGGTCGCAAACAGCGCACACGACTTCTGTATGGTCGGAAGAGCTACCGTGTGCGGAGCGTGTAAACAATTGAGGTAATGGGGGGTGCGTTGGTGACATCTACCGGCAAGAGCATACAACTCAGCCACCGTCTGCAGGAACGTGCTAGTGTATCGTTGGCTTACTGGACCAACAATTGCTTCGAGTGTCCACTTTCACCACGCGCTTCTAACTCGAAAATCACGCTTAAATAAAAGAGTTGCGCGCTTTCAGCCCAGAAACTTGCACAAGGCATAAGTGTACGTTTCTTCCACACGAACGCACGACTCATAATTTGTCAAATTTATGTAAGTAAAAGAAGGCCCACAGCCGCTGGTTTTCCGGCATTATGAATTCAAGCTCTCGTGCTTACAATAATCGAAATTCAATATGTCATGAAGTGCTGATAAGACGACGTTTTAAAAAAATCATTGGCTGTATGGTCAGATCGCATGACTAATTGTTTGGGCCGATGACATTTAATCAGTGCATTCCAGTAGCTTAGAGGTTCATGGTCAGCATGAAGAATACAGATCAATTACTTTTTATCAATTTATTCCAGTTCCATCTCACATCTGTAAAATCGATAGGAAGTAAGCACATAATTCATCACTTTTGGCAGCTCGCACGAAGTCACAGCACATTTGCGCTCACCGTATCATTAAGCCACTTTGCACTGTTGCCATCTGCTTTTATCAATGCTCTGATACAGCAGACAGTGTGATGCGGGCGCGATCCACCTGCCGCTTTTTTCCACCCGGACCATCCTTGGAGTGCGGACGTCAACAACGCACCACAATGCAGGCTGCCAGCCATCTGGGCGGTCACAAGCCGTACAGCAGACTGTGGGTCACTGTACCTTTCTCTAAACAGGCTGCGGAGCACGAGGGCTCAGCGGCAGAGTTCTCAACAGGCTGCGGATCACTGAGACCCAGCGGCAGAGCTCTGGACTGGCAGCGGATCACTGGGGCTGAGCTCTAGACAGGCTGCAGATCACTGGGACTCAGCGACAGAGTTCTGAACAGGCTGTGGATCGCTGGGACTCAGCGGCAGAGCCCTAAACAGGCTGTGGATCGCTGGAACTCAGCGGCAGAGCTCTGAACAGGCTGTGGATCACTGGAACTCAGTGGGAGAGTTCTGAACAGGCTGCAGATCACTGGGACTCAGCGGCAGAACTCTGAACAAACTGTAGTTCACTAGGACTCAGCGGCAGAGCTCTGAACAAGATGCAGTTCACCAGGACTCAGCGGCAGAGCTCTGAACAGGCTGTGGATTGCTGGAACTCAGCGGCAGAGCTCTGAACAGGCTGTGGATCGCTGGGACTCAGCGACAGAGCTCTGGACAGATAAGCCACGTGGTCACCTGTGAAGCCATGTAGTAAACACACCACCATGGGACACGGTACGCGTGATGGTACATGGTAGTGCGTGGTGCATGATCTCAGCCGTCACAAGTTAGACCGGCTGCGGATCAGGCTGGTCGTTATTAGACTCCATGGGAGAGCGACGAAAATAGTTAACTGGCTTCTAAAGAGAGTGTCCCACTTTTGGGGCATATTTAAAAAACATGCTTTAATAAAACCTGAGGACTCGTAACATCTAATAATAACATTGGGTAGGGCCACTGCAGCGCCGTCAAGAAAAAATCAATATATTAGTTTCAACTATTTTTGAATCCAAATTACGCTGCCAATGCTTTGAAACAGCACTACGCTTCTTCCATGGTGTCGGGACCACCGTCAAGACAACCCCAGTGCACACCTGTGCTGATGCGAATAAAAAAGCTTGTAATTGGCCCAACGGGCCAGGGCATGCTAGCGAAAAGTCAGTTGGTTGCAGTTTGAACCAGTGGGTCACATGGATCATGTGCTACTCCCAGTCCTATAGCCAAGCTGCGCCTTGAAAAGAGCCGCTGTGGAGAACGCCATAGGAGAGAGATCAAAGCCGTAGCACAACGTTTCGTTGAATTTGCGGGATAATAGCATGGTGTTCGCAAATCTTTTTGTCGAAATGAGTGTTTCAAGTTTTCGTAGCATTTAGTACACATGCATTCTGACACGTTAGTGTGTTGCAAACATTACAGAACCCACGTATTTAAAAAGCAAGGTAAATGGAATATCTTACTTTCATGGTGTTGAGCAGGGAGTCAAACACGATTTCTCCCGCAGTGTACCGCGCTTACAATAAGCCATGCACAACGCTATGTGCTTTGGGAAGCTCTTACGTGGCATAACACAACTGCCTATGGATTGTTTAGCGTAGATCAAATCATCACATGTTGTATTGTGTTTTGCCTGACTCATGCTTCTTAAGCGTGTGTCAGTTGTACCGATAGATTTGGACATTTGTACTCACATAGGTTACAAGTTTTAGCTTGCCAACCGTGCAGGGCTTCAGCATGCCTGCATGTTCTTTCCCCCAGCATGTTCCCCCAATGCTTTTGAGAAAATACCATGTCTTCGCCGAGACAGAGGCAGCTCACGATTCCTCGGAGCTGACTGAGACCGTCGGGACGTCACCGAGACAACTTCTCACTTTTCAGGTCTGGTAACAGCCTCGTTCCCCGGAGAAAAATGAGGAAAATGGAGGTATAGTTGGATTGGTATTTCGGTGATATGCCTTTATCGAAACAATGGCAGAAGCGAAGCAATTCTGCTATTGTTCCGATAAAGACATGTTTCCGAAATGCCAACCCAACTATATCTCCATCCTCCTATTTTTTTCCGAGGAGTAAGGCTATTATTGCTGTCTTATCTATGTGAACAGCGTTCCTCGCTAATGCACCGAACAACTTACATAGTTTCTCTCGAAAAGCAGAGTGTGTACAGTGCAGCGAACGCCTCTATCCAACACGTTAGGTAGTCTGTGATCGTTCGTTGCGATACTTCTCCCCGGTCCTCCGTCCGTGCTGCCCC